TTTACTGCGAGAGATAACTCCAACCGCATGTCGTGGACATTCCGGTTGGATTCTGTGTTCTGTTCAGAGGTGACCTTATACACAACGGAATGCCGTACACCACGAGTAACTACCGCATTCACTGCTACATTACCTACGCAGGGATGAAATGGACACCAGCTATCGTTCAAGACGCACTTCCGGACCACGGTGAGTGTATGTTTTGCGGCTAAAAGGTCAAGCAATTCGGAAACACCACTTCTGCTGCGAAAAGGATCCCAAGGGGGCTGCGAGCAAACAGAAGCGCAAACGTGAGTACGAGGAACGTGAGTTCAAATGTGATGCGTGCGATGAGGTGTTCAAGCACCAGAGCTCGCTACGAGTCCACAAGTTGAGGGAACACTCCGCTTAGAATTGAGACGTATGGTAAGCTTAAATGGATGGAAGATGAAGAGCTCACCTGACTGGACAAAATTATGTTTACTCGTTATTAATTGGTCGAGTTCTTCAACTTTGGTACATCATTCCCGTTACAATTCGCGCTCCCGTTACAATTCTTCTTTTTAATATATAACTACCTGTCTTCTCTGCGGTTTGTTGTTTAGTGGTGTCATCCACGATGTATTAATGAAATTACGCATGTGTTTAAACAACGCCTATTCACTCTGATCCAAGTAAGGTGCTCTTCCTGCATACCCCCACGCCCTCGCTGGTAAAAAGGGTGATTTGAATGGCTGTACTTGATCACCCGCTTGAGCTCCAAAACCTTGGTGATGCTGAGGGCATTCAGAGTAGACCTTAGAGGTGTAGCCGGGTGATTTTTGTCAATTCGCTCACTATATGTCGGGTCGCGGTCGGTCCCTGTACAACCTTGGTTTGCTAGCCGCGTTCTGCGCGTACTTTGCTTGGACCAACATTGTTGCAATGTAGCAGGGTCTTGTATTCTTGCAGGGGTAGTCCTATTGTCGAGGTAAATCCACCAGTGCTTGTCGAAATGAATCGGGGTTGAGATACTTCCTTCCATTAGAATCTATGACTGCAATAAGGTCGGGGAGACAGGGACGCCCATGGACAGCACGGAATATCCCGGAACAAGAACTACGTTCAATTCGACCAATGCCAAATTACTCCGCATCCATCCACAATCTCTCTGTGTCTCTCAAAGCGTTTCTCGTGTTAATCCTGACAGCTCGATTGTATCTGCTCTTTCGCAGCAACTGAGGCGCAATCGTTACATGTTGAGCCATGAGCAAACCTATTTCGGAAGCGGCAATTGTCCACCAGCTACACAGCTTTCAAGAATCTGTGTACAAGTCGCATTGGCTTGATTTCAATTTGGCTTTGATCTTGGCATGCGTTCCCTCGACTGTAGATGTGTCTCGGACACCGAAGTGGGTGTACTTGTTTGGGCAGTATCTCACAATTCGCGACTTGAACTTCCACCAATGCAGATCCGGATAGTCGGACACCACCTTGCTCTTTGAGGCAAGGATCTGTGTTTTTCTTCAAAATCTGCTTCTGAGATTGCCTCCACCGCTTCATAAAACGTAGCCATGAAGGAATTGGTTTCCCAAGAGTTCTCCTTTTTTTGCTGTCCCGGGGCTGGGCTCTCGACGTCTACTTGGCCAAAGTGCTTTCTGGCCATACTTTCCATGTTTTTGCTCATGTGCCAGCGGCATATCATCGAAGGTACGTGCGGATAAACACGGTCCAGTGAACTCGGACAGGCGAGATCCCGATCAGTGAGAATGACGTTAGGAAGGTCTATATCGTTCTCAATCATGAAGAGCCGTAGCTTGTTGAAAGCCCAAACGAAGTCTTATTCTTTCTCACCAGGCAGCCAACATTGACCAACGAAAAGAGCCGCATTAGATCCGGTAAAGACAATGATATTGAGCAGCGGAATGCGATGTTGTTTTTGTCTTGTAGGTGCAGTCGGCAACTAACGCATCATGGTGAAGCTTGAAAAGCTCAGTGGTGTCGGGATGAGCCCAAATAAGGTGGGTTGCCTCGTTCGTTTCTTGATTGACGCGCCACTTGTGATATATTTGTGCTTTCGAAGCCTCACGAATAGTGCTTATATCGCTGTATGAGAAGCCAGATCTCGCCTACGAACAGCACTTCTTGTGTTGGTGATGTCTTTGGCGATCACGAGAGAGTCTGGATCGGCACTTATACGCGCAGCTTGAATGGTCGAAACAGCAGCCCCTGCTGCAGTCTGGAGTTTCACCAGGTCTGACGTGGTCACCGACGTTTGTTCCTGAGATCTTTGAGCAGCACAGCGCCTGACAGCAGCATGAGCACAAATGTCCCGGGACGGTTCGTGGTTATAGTGAGCGCTGCGTGCCGTGTGAATAACCTTTCAAGGCCCGTCGGTTTCTGCCTTGCTGATATCATGCAGTGCAATGCGCATGGGGCATCCGGAGCGTTTTGAGCCTCGCATGGTGCGCGTTCGGGTCTCTTCGGTCAAGTGTTGAGTGCTCTTCACGGCTCCGGAGCGATCGCACTCATAGTTCCGTGCCCACACCTTCTTGTCAGCGTCGTCTGTGTACCGAACTCGGCGACGTGAAATATTGAACCCGTGATCTTTAGCCCATTGACGCAACGTTTCTTCAGCTAAGTCATGCGAGGCGTACACAGATCGGGATGATGGTAAGATGACAACACGTTGCGGGACGGTATTACTCATTGGTGAACTCTTTGTATTTGGCAGCCTTTTGTGGTTCGTCTACAGCTCGTCTACATCCATCTAAACCGGTACGATACTGGTACTTACTGACTTTCTCATCCTTCCCATTGTAGAGCTTCTTCGTGCAAAGCTATGCTTTACAAGCTTAATTGTTGAGAGACGGGCTAAAGTCTCGCTTCAATTAGCAAAGTATTACTTACGTAATTTGCCAGTGGAGTGCGTGATGCCAATTTCGTGCATGATACAGAATTTCTGCCAGTTGTTATGCTTAAAATCAAAATTGTGCAATTGGATTAGCTCATCTCATTTCAGTCAGTTCAGTGCACGCTTTTCCACAGCCAACTGAATATAATCCACATCATTCAATCTCATCATTTTTAATAGGGTATTCGATTCTGGCCAACCGCAGCCCATTCATTTCACAACTTCCACGAAGCCATGGGGGCAGACGACGAAGACGTGGAGTCTACAACGCTGCACCGAGGTCCTCATAGCTCTAAAAAGAGTTACTAAAGGGGAGAAATATGCTGTTGTGTCGCGCATGACCAACATCCCGTGGAGAACGTTGTTCAAGAAGGCGAAAGAGCAGAGAGAAGGGAAGGATCTGACGGGTAGTCATCGTGGGACCAAGCCGACGTTGCCTGTGGAGCTAAAAGATGACCTGTTGGAATGGATGTGTGCTATGCTGCGAGTTGGCTTACCTGTTGGGCCGTCTGCCATATTGGCCAAGGCTAATGAAGCTTACATTGCAACGCTGCCCATGCCAACTCGCTTGGCAAAACCAACAAAGCCGCTCACGGCGGGTTGGTACCGACGTTTCTTAGGGAGGCACCCACAGCTGACACCTCGGGCCGCTCAGCAGATCGCCCGCGGCCGCAATAACGTTGAGGCAGGGGCTGTGCGTGGCCTCTTCTACACTATCGCGCAGCTTCATATCGAGCATAAGCTGGATAAGAGTCGCGTTTTCAACATGGACAAAACGGCGTTTATGCCGAAGGCATCTACGCGGAAGGTTGTGGCGTTGAAAGGTTCGTCCAATGTGTGGACACAAGAGCGTAAGGCAAATTTTCACATGACCGTGGTAGCTGCTGTGAATGCGGCAGGCGACGCAGTACCTCCCTTGCTTATTTTGCCGGGGCAGAGGATTTATTGAGAGGAAATGGCTGCCATATTCATTGACAACACCACTGTGACTGGTGCACCCCAAGGTTTCAGTAATACCGGTATATTTAAGCTCTGGATGAGGACATTTGACTCGTATTTGACAAACAACAACGTGAAGCGTCCGCTGGTGCTGGTTTTGAACAACAGTTCATCTCATGACATATTCGGTAAGTGCTTTTTTTTCAAATTATTTAAATATTAACAGGGATTAAATTAATTTGACGGGTTAATTTTATATAGGTGAAGTTTCCGTTTGGTCGCACAGAGGAATTTTGCTCGTCGGCCTCCCTCCAAATGCCACTCACCTCTATCAGCCTCTTGAGGTGGCTGTTTTTAAGCCTTGCAAGAGCATGGTGAAATCTACTTTACAAGCCAAAATGCTGCACAGCTCGGACTGTACTATTGCAAATCGGATGCCATCGAGATAGCGTGCCATGCGTATCGTAACGCGGTGATGACAAGCCCCGAAAACGCTGTAAATGGCTTCAGAACCACGGGAATCTATCCACCATCCTTGCCTAGTATGCAGGCTCGTTTACGGCTGTTTGCGAGCGGTGGCGCACGCGCAGACATTGGAAGGGCGGCATGGCTCAAGCGAAAGCGTGAAATTCAAGAAGAAATACGCAGCAGCATATTACAGCTGCCACCAGCACCTCGCACTAAAGGCAAACGCTCACGACGCACCGTAGACTTTGTAGGGCGTCTCATAACCGAGGAGATGCTGCTTCGGGGTAAGCTTTAGTCGATAGCCAGAACCGTGCACAAAACTGATAGCCTCAAATTCCATCCTCACTTTTGACTAACCATTGCACCTCACATGTTCGTTTGTAAAAAAACGCAAAAAAAGTACCTTTTTGATTTCCAAAGACCCAATTTTAACAACAATTGGTGCCTTTTTCGCTAGATGCACCTTTTGAGCATGCCTAAAATCAGGTACTCAACTGGCAAATTACGTTTCAAGTATGAATTAGAATAAATGTTTTGCTGAAAATTTTGTTTTCTGTTATTTCTAAATGAAATATTTTAAAGCAATCAATTTAGAAAAGTTGCTCCAAAATAAGCGCAAGAACAAATAGTTTTATTTATTTTTTAAAGTGGAAATTTAGAGTTTAATAGTACTTTGTTGATCAACGTTTCAAAACATTTAGATACGGTGTGGAGCACCATAATGGTCCAAGCTAGCGACCAAAGCGCTGCCGATGTGAGGCGCGTGAACCAGCAGCTCGAAGAACGTCATTACGAGTTCCGCTCCAACTGCAATGACGGCGATGGTGACGCCAGCGCGTGCCACAGCTGGGGCGAGTGGCTTGCCGTCGTGGACAAGAACTACAATGACGCCGGTACGTAAAAAAAAAAGTGATACCTTTGCGGAGCTGCTTAGTGTCCTGTTGCTGACTGTACTGCTGCAGCTAAAATGTATGAGCTTAACTGCTCCAAGAACGGATACCCGGCCTCGTGCTTCAACCTCGGACGCCTGAAGCGTACGCATCGTTATTGCTGGCTAATTTGCAATTAATTTCAACTGTGTATTCACACTGTTTTATCTTATGCAGTTGCTGGCAAGGGTGCGGAGCAGGATGACCCGAAAGCCTTCAAACTTTTCCGTAATATATTTTATATATACATATTTGACTTTACTGCATAACCTAAATATTCTTTATGTGCTCAACCGGATAGAGAAATCGTGTTCAGGTGGCCACGCTGCTGCTTGTCACCACGTGGGCTTTATGCGTACACAAGGCATTGGCTGCGAGAAGGTAGGATGGGTCGATCCCTTACTGATTAAGAAAACTATAGTGCTAACACGTTAATTCAGGACCTCGCTAAGGCTGTTGCAGCTTTCAAGGACGGGTGTGACCGCGACGACGCCAACAGCTGCAATCGTGTGGCGACGATGTATCTGCGGCCAGGGCCGAACAGCCCGATCACGCGCGACATCCAGCAGGCGAAAACTTACCTGGAAAAGGCGTGTGATGCAAATTATGCTCCTGCGTGTCATAACCTGGCTGTGATGTACAAGAAGGGTGACGAGAGTATCCCGAAGGATGAGTCCAAGTACGAGGAATACCGGGCCAAGACGGAACAACTGATTAAACAAGCAGGTGGCATGTCCTCTATCAAGTCAGCCTAAGCTAGCTGTCGTCACTAGCTTCGTCTCCAAATTCACACAAGTTTTGTGCGGGTTGTGTCGGCCTTCAACTCGTATCGACCAAAAGGTTGAGCAGGAGACGTCACAATGTTCGAAACGAATAGTAGAATGCGTTTCCTGCAAGTAAGAATTGCAATGTGTTAATCTTGAGATGCATGAGCTCGAGTGCAATAAAGCAATTTGATGAGGTTTTCTATTTGGATTTTCGTTGATCGTGCTACAGGTCTGGGACAGCGAGTAGAGACAAAGCAACCTTGGCTCGAACCTGAAATGCTACGGCACCTATGGGATTTTCTTCAGCAAAGATTCTCATTTCAATGCAACTCAATACACTGTCAACTGCGAGATAGCATAGTCCCTACATCGTGGCTAAGAAAACTCGACAAATTTGAGTGTTGACATCGATTACTGATTCGTCTTTGACTGGGCTGCCATCGATTCTACGCTGCCGTGTCCGACCCATAGCTATTGCTGCTGCTGGTCCCGCTTGGATCCTGAATGAGTTTCGTGAACTCGTTAATCTCGGGCAGCGATCGCTGCTGAAGCATTGCACCGTGCGATGGTGAGATTCGACCTTGGTGGAAAGAAAAATCACTTTGGAGGGGAACGGGCTTCGACAAGGGTGTGTCAAGAGATTCCGGTTTTTCCGGTTCGGAGATCTCCGGGATGCGTGTCAGGCTTGTACCTCCCGACACGAAGTAGTATTGACTACGGATCAACACTGTGAGCTCTTCCTCAATCTGCAGAAGCCGCGCCTCCAAGTCGATATCATTCGCGTCAAGTCCAAATGGACACTCGATCTCCATGGCAACTTCGTCCGCCATGAACAGAAATGTCCCCCACATGAATACCCATAGAGGTGTGTACAACCCAGACCTCGGCACAATAACAAATGTATAGAGCAGCATATACGCAGTAAGCAGAAACTGCAGATACTGCATGTAGTTGAATGGGATCGGGACGTTGGCAATGTTGAACACCGTTGTGTACAGGTTGGGCAGTCGTGCGAGCTTGAGCTGGAGAGCGTTCGCGTTCGGTAACGTTAGGTGTCCTCGATTCGTAGCAACTTGTACAAGTCGCTTTAGCCACAGCTCTGTGATCGTGGCGCGTAGCTTGTGAGGGGTACGGCGAACTATTGCTCTGTAAGACTCCTTGTCCTCTACCTGCATCTTGTGTTCCGATCCGCATGCGTAGAGTTCGTCGTATTCAGCGTCCGTAAGCACGCCCGCCTCCTTCAGTTTGTCGATCCCGTCCAAGCCACGACAATCGTGGAACACGATGGCAATATAGAGGAATACTAGACGACGCAGTTCAGTGAAGAACGTGCACTTCTCGAGGACATCTTGAGGAATGTTTGATGCCTTGACGTTGGCGTTATTAGTGTTACCTTCATCTGCTGTGCTCGTTGCTGCCGTGAGCTCGTTCTTGATCGTTGTGCTCACGTACGCGCAGCCTGAGCCTACAATATCACGCGCTGCTTCTGATAGTGACCCCACGGCGACCACACCAGCCCGCCACTGTGAGAACGCCGAGTTCATGCGGAAGGAGACGATCAGACCGAGAAATGTGTTAAACACAGTGAGTGAGTCGGTAAATGCTGTCGATTCTCGTGTAGGAACCACAAAAGGGTGATAGCGATTCACAACAGCAACAACCAACGCGATCATGGCCATAATGAAAGCACGCATCGGAGCTTGGCCGTTTAATGCAGACCCATGCCAGCGCATTAACACGGCCCACAAGTGCGACGTGTCGTAGTAGATCATCCTTGTGATTTAAAGTGGGCTTTCGAGTGTTGCAGGAAGTTTTGAGGACTGGTAAAAACGGAAGAGTCTAAGCCATGAGAGCGTAGGAGCTCACAGCGACACGAAGATAGTCATACGTACTTGAAAGGCATCTGACGGCATAAGGACGTAGCCCCAGCTGTACGACCGCATACTAGTAGTTACAGCTGGCAAAAAAAAGCTAGTAGCTCACACACCAAACGAATGTGCACCACAAGGCATCGAGGATCGATTCAGCTTTCAAATAGAGCAATAATTTGTTCCGCAGCAAATGTTGCGAAAGAGAAAATGGTTTTTAAAACTGGAAACTGGAGAAATCGCTACAGTTTCGGAACACTTTTTTCATCATTAAGGATGTCATCAACACAGCTGGATGGGTTTTAGGCATTCTGCACACCGTTCTGGACTTGGTGATGGGGAAGTGGTGCACGCTTCTTGGCAAGAAGTTCCTGCGTGGATCTCTGGAGTAATACCGGATACATTGCATGCAGCGGTGTCCTGTGCTTGGACGATGTGAGAGGTTTGCGCCACGCTGTTGGGACGGAGTGAATCATTTCGTAAGCCGCGTCCAAGGACAAGAAGATAAATCATGATTTACTACGATACGTCGCGGTTACTGGGCGTGTTGCTCCGCTGGCATGGATCTGCGTTGAACGGTCAAGCACCGATGCGTGCTCTGATCATGGCAATGATAGCAATGGTTGTTGCAGTCATCAACCATTATCATCCTTTCGTGGTGGCCACTCGGAACTCGACAGCGTTCACGGATTCCTTGACGGTGTTTAACACGTTTCTGGGTTTAATCGTCTCGTTCCGGTTGAATTCGGCCTTTACGCAATGGCGTGCTGGTATGGTGGCAATAGGGGCACTATCCGAAGCTGCACGGGAGATCGTTGGCTCCGGCTGTGCGTACGTGAGCACAACTATCAGGGAAGAACTCAAGGAGCACAGTGTGGAGGACACGAACGACCACGCCTTTGCTGACGCAGCAAAGCGCAATGGTCGGACGCTGGAAGAGGAGATCGAGCTGGGCAAAAAGCGTAATCACCTCGCCCACAAGCATCAGCCTATTCCACGTGATGTTCTGGAGAAATGTACGTTCTTCACCGAGTTACGCCGTCTAGTATTCCTGTACATTGCCATTGTATTCCACGACTGTCGTGGCCGTGATGGTATCGACAGGTTGAAAGACTCGGGTGTATTGACTGATGCTGAATACGACGAGCTCTACGCATGCGGTTCGGAGCACAAGAAAGAGGTGAAAGACAAGGAATCGTACCGTGCGTTGGTTCGTCGTACCCCGCACAAGCTTCGTGCCACGATCACTGAGCTTTGGCTCAAACGATTGGTGCAAGTTGCAACACGCCGTGGCCACCTGACGCTACCCAATGCCAACAATTTGCAGATCAAGATCGCGCAACTACCGAACCTGTACACAACGGTATTCAACATTGCAAACGTCCCGATCCCTTTCAACTACATGCAGTACCTGCAGTTCCTACTAGCAGGGTATATGCTACTGTACACTTTTGTGATCGTGCCGAACTCGGGACTGTATACCCCGATTTGGGTGTTTTTGTGGGGCACTTTCCTCTTCATGGCCGACGAAGTTGCCATGGAAATCGAATGTCCCTTTGGCTTGGATGCCAATGACATTGACCTGGAATCTCGGCTTCTGCAGATTGAGGAAGAACTCATCGTGCTGATCCGCAGTCAGTATTATTTCGTGACGGGGGGTGCCAGCCTTTCGAAAATTCCAGAGAACTTGGAAGATGGCTCTTGGCGTCAAGTACGTCTCGCAAAGCTGCAGTCGAAGCCAACGATTGCGGAGTCATTCTCCTTCCACCAAGGTCGACTCTCTCCGTCGAATATGGCAACGGTACAGCAGGATTTACTGCCTGAAATCAACGAGTTCACTGCTTTGATTCAAGACCCATCGACTGCCAAGAAAAATACAATGGCGGACTCGACGAAATCTTTTGAATACGGCTCCACGGATACCGTGGCATAGGCATCTTAAGAAATGGACGACTGTAATGACAATAACAGGTCGACCTGCTATTTGGAGAGCTTTTCGAAGAATAAAAAAAAAATATCGCGATTGAAAAAAATTCTAGTAGTTCTCAACTTGCTGATAGCTGTTCTAACAGGTAATTGTCCCCGTGCTGGAGATCGGAAAATTACGCATCGAGTGCTACTTCACACAAATAACGCGTCTTTGCATTGAGTCACTGCAATATGAATACTTCAAGCTCCAAAAAACCGTGTGCCTCCTGTAAACCTTCAACATTCGTTGTAGTTCAGCTCACTTTGTCTCCAATTCCTTAGACACCAATAAACGAGTCGTCATCTTTGACTATAATCTTAATTTCAGCCAGCGCTCATGAACCATGATTTCCCTTGATCGTGCCCACTTTTACACTGTAAATTTACGAAAGCTAGCCGCTGCGGACGCTACCCAAGCAGTTCTTTTCAGTCTTATCGGCCCCAAAAAAAGTCGCAGTAATATGCTACCTCCTTATAATTGCACACTTTACTTCTTCAATAAGTATTAGCAAGGGCCCATTCTACATGTACTGCAGCAATCGTGTACAGCTAATATTTTTATAGTTTCTTTAAAAACATCTCAATGAAGGTCTACAATTTCTCTGCCTTTCTAAATCAGTGAACGAGGTTGTGAATGGTGTTATCAAATCGCCTGGACCAACTGCTGAGGCAATCCGTGACAGTTTTCTTGAGTGACTCGCATGCCTGCTCCTCCGACTGCTCGGGCCTCATGGTTTGCACGATGTAGTTGATGTCATCGCGACCTGTAAGCTCGGGCATATCGGCCGGCACCATGAGGAGAAGCAGCGATACCAACAGATGCATGTGTCGCCGCAGAACGTTGTACGCAATGCTAGCGATATCTATAAACGTTCGGAAGTCCTTCCCTTCGATGCCGCCCATGACATAGGCCATTTCTTTCGTGAACACGAACGGAGAGCGCTCGCGTGCCATTCCCATCTACAAACAAATATATGAGGATCCCTTGAGCCGATAGTTCATGCAATAGTTACACGTACGCTGTACTTGAGGTGGCCCAGAAAGTGACCAAAATCGATGTGGAAATAGCGACCTGCTGAAGATATCTGCAACAAGGAAAAGCCTCAAGATCAGCACCGTGTTTGAATAAAGTTCAGCCGGAAGACGTACCATAATGTTGTCGTTGTGACGATCTCCGATTCCAAGCACGTAAGTGGCGACGCAATAACCTGCGCAGGAGCGTGTAAACAAGTTGATGGCAAGCTTGTGGCTCTTTGCATCTGGATTGTTCGCGTGGATCCAGTCCGCAAAGATCGGGTCCTTGAAAGAGCCCATGATACCGCCACGCTTGTGCACATCGGCAGTTGTGACTGAATTAGGCACGATCTGGAGAATACCCGTCATTGGAGAAGTAGCCACACACTTATACGGCTCCATCGCCAAGTCCAGACCCTCTTCACGCCACATTTCGTCCATCAAGCGGATCAACTGCAGAGTCAAGCAGTCTTGCCGTACATCGTCACCAGCCTTGAACATCACAGTGACTGGGTCGCCACCTTCCTCGGCATTCTCAAACACCAGCCACAAGGGCTTCTTCGCTGAATCCATTACGCGGCACTTGCTCACGATAATCTTGCCCACTTCAATACGAGGATCAAGCGGCAGCTGGAACGAACCGGGCAGCAATTCATTCAGCGCCTCCAGCCCTTGCTGCATCGCTCGCTTCATTTCAGCAGCGCCGTCCTTCCTCTTCGCCTTCACACTCTGACAAATACGCTCCAGCATCCCACCTTCCGAGAAGAGTTTGTCCTGCAGCTTCAGAATGGCACGCATCTTCGAGCTGCACACATCCAGATAAGCGTTCAAGATGGTGCCGTACCGTTCACGGTATTGGTCGTTGTGTGCTTCCACTTTCATGCTCCAGAAGAGGTCAAAGCCAATCTGGTTCGGGTTCTTGATAGCTCGCTCAATCAGCAGCATAACCAGAGGTGACGCGTGATGGTTCTCATACTTGATCGCCTGCACTAGCTGCGGTAAAAAGTAGCTAAACGTCGTGTCGGCCATCAGTCCAAGCTTCTGTACCGCAAACGTGCGCACTCCTTCGTGAGCGAATTCACCACTAAGCAGCTCGATATACGCCGCTTGGTGATCTGGCTCGGTCCATCGCGGGAGCAGCGATAACGCTTCCTCCGTCTCTTCAGGATCATCCCAATGAACACACGTCAGCACACGAGGCAGAGCCGGAAACATGTCGATCAGCTCCTCTCGGTACGTCCACAGCTGCGTCTTTTGATACGGACTGAAGCTATACAGCGGGTCCAGCAGAATGAGTTTGCGCAGATCTCGTACACACGAGTCACGGTGGTTGGAGCTGTCGCTGCTGTATGATCCTGATTCACGACGCTGCTTCGAAGACACACTAAGTCTGGATAGCAGGTCACTGTCGCGTGGGCTTTCCTCAAGTAACACCACATCGCCGCTGCTCATTTCGCTCAACGTAATCGTCTCGCTGAACACAGTTCCGTTGGTGGCAACTGATTGAATCGCCAACATCCAAGCCTCGCGAGACTGCTTCGTATCTGCCGACATGATATACTCTCGTGATGAGCCCATCGGTCGTACTTTAAAGCACCACGTTTGACGCACTCGTCGTGTCCCGCTGTTGACGGGCGCAGTAGTAAATGTCTGGTTCATAGCATCAGCTGTGCTGACGGAGCAGTTTTTCAGCGAAATCTGCTTCCTTGAAGCTGTCTCATCGTCCGCGTAGCTCAGCGAGCACGTGCCTTGGTCCAGAATGAACCAGCGACGTCGCCAACGGGTTAACGTTTTGTAATTCCCCACCTTACGCAGCCATCCTTCCTTGTGAAGCATGTCGGATCGACTGCTCTGGACAATACTAGTTCGATGCGGGCGACCACTCGCTGCAACCATATTGTTCTCACTCCAGTCGAACACGATGGGCGCATCAAACTTGCAGAACTCCACGTGAATCAGCGGTTCGTTCGGTAACGCCACATGCGGGATCGGTCCCTGGACACACGAGTGCAAGTTATTCAGCATACGAACATAGCTAAGACCTTGCATGAGCGTTCCGTCAACTTCGAACGCATTAATTCCAGTCACCAGCATTTTTTCTCCCTGTCCGTTAGATCTGGGGCCGCCAATGATCTTCTTGATGCCGATCACTGTCAATTCCACACGCATCGTACGCGTCACATCGCAAATATTCACGTTGAATTTGTGCCACACGGGATTGCTCCACTCGACAAACAGCAGGTCATTCCGTTGCGCTTTCAGCCGCACGTCAGCCGTGTCTACAACGGCATTTTCCAGCAGCTGACCTCCATCGTACAGCGCGATGCGAACTATCACACTAGCACTAGCCAGCTCGACTCGACTGACGTTCGCAGCTTCACTTGTTCTCTTCAGCACACACGTAGTGCGCGGAATGTTGAGTACACGATGAATTCGGACCGCAAAAGGCTCTTGGACCGCCACACTAGGGATCGGACCCTTCCGACACGGCTGAGACTGGTTCCAGTCGATCTCCCCTAACGTTGTCATCTGCAGCGATGCAGATCTCTCATTTTCCATGACTTCCTCGAGTTGGTTCGAGCTCTTGTTCATCCGTGGGTCCCCTGCCAGCTGAAGGTTGTTGCGAATACTTAGATTCAGCATCGCAGTCTCTCGAATAATCGACTTGTGCACCACTGTGAGTCGGATCGTCTTCTTAGTCATCAGACATTCTCGTACGTGCACGTATTCGTTCAACATCCTATAGCGATCGATCATATAGTCTCGAAATCCTGTGATCTTCAGTAGATACTCAGTTGGGTCGTATGGCTTCAGCGGTGCCGCATCAAGAGCCTGTTTGTAGCAGTTGAAAACGTGTTCCACGATCTCCCCCACTGTATCACTGGTAGTTACTGCCATCCTCACATCTGTAATAGCTTGAGCATTCACCTCTCTCAACTGGAATTGCCTCTTATAGATAACGTGAACAGCATTGAACTTGACGACGCCACAGAGAGCCTTGATCCATCGATGGTATTCAGTCTCCGAGTCTGCAGCCAGAACCCACGTCCGAGCTGTTGTTACGAGTAGAAATCCATACGGCTCCGACTTGTTGTCCATGGGCTGCAGAGACGAAACCTTGTCTAGATCGATACACCCTCGTTCATACGCTTTCTTCTCGTCTCGACTGAGAGGGATCCCGTGTTTCTCTGGCTTTTTCTTGTAGTAAGCCAGCACACTACCGTCCAATTCCATATATCTCTTCTTGAAGGCTTTGATCCCTTCTCCTCGTTTCCTCAAGATCCCACCCACAATACAGGTGGGGACCGCATGGGACACCTGGTGCTGCGAGATGATGAGGCAGGCTGGGATACGGGCCACGCAGTTGAGAAACTGCGGCGTGTCTAGTGCGAACTTGCTCTGGTTCTTGTGAGCCACCCAGTCGCCATCTTCGACACGAAACTCGGGCGTATTGGCGCGCACCTCCAGGTCGGTGGGGGAGATCTCGGCGTGTGCGAGTTGCAGGAGCTGCCCCACCGCGGAGCGGAAGTAGAGCGACTCCTTGCAGTGATAAAGACCGGGCACAGGCTGCCAGCGCTGGCCGTCGGAGCTCTTGCCGGCGTGTGCCAAGGGGTTCATGGCGGCGAAGGACGGTACGAGCGAGGTGTCGACGTTATCGAAGGTCTTGCTGGCCTCGTAGACCGCGTAGCATGAAGACAACGACGCGGAGCTGCTAGAGGATGACTCCAAGGAGCTGCGGCTCGAGAGCGTGGACGTGCGTCCAAACATGGCGGAGGGAGGCGGGATCTGGGCGGGACCTAGTGTGACGTGGTTGTCTGTTCTTTCTCTTGGGTGGTGACTTGCAGAGTGAAGGTGCCACTCAGACTGAGTCCCACTGCGCCTTTTACTATTAAGCTTTTGCAGTTTGAACCCATCGAAAGCGACCCTCGGATAAACTCGTCAAAGGTGATCCTGTTTAAAAGGCACAACGGAAGAAGGGAATTGAGAAGGGCTGAAAACGTAACACATATACACTTTGCTTTTGCATACTTATATCATTATCGAAGGCTTTGGTGTTGCCACTGGCAATTTGCCAGTTTACAGGTTGGCTGAGAATAGAGCACGGTTGAAAGAGAACTAATTTATCAAGGATAACTCTCCGTCAAGACATCGCATGACAATGGCCGGCGGACTCGCAAACTCATGCCATGCGCGATTCAGTTGTCTGCCAGCTTGAAGCTGCATTGCAAATCGTCTCCATCCTTTAGCTAGTCGTCACGGCTGTTGCAGGCCTGCGAGCACAAAACTCACGCAGGGCCCCTGCGTGAGTTTTGCCCCTGCGGCAACTTGGACACTGTCCAGCGCTTCGTAATTTCACTTTCTGATCCACGGATTACATGTATTTTAATCTCGCTCAACGCATCCTTAATCTCCGCACGTCGAACGAATGTCAAAGCCCACAGAATAGTCATCGTTAACTTGTCTCGCGATGCAAACTCTGGGCGTGGAGGGCTTCAGCAGCATTGGGAAATGATCGCGCGGGGTCGGGATAATCAGCACACCCTCGCGATGAATCTGTTCAGCGGCCTTCTGCTTTTTACGCACCTCCACGAGCTTCTTCATGCCGCTATCGCGATTCCACGAGCCTGTCAGAACTTTTCGCAGCTCTTCGCGGTCCTGTACCTGCTTCTTTTCGATCGCCTCCAACTCGTTTCGCACTCGTCGTAAGAACTTTCGATCGTCCTGCAGCAGCTTCTGCTTCGAGTGGATGCGGTCCTGCTCCTTGTTGGAGATCTGGTCCTGTAATTGGTGTTTGAGCTTCTCCCTCACACGATTTTGATAGCGTTGGTCGTCGTAGCCTTGGCGCGTGCGCTCACTTTCGGAGAAGAACGTGCATGCCTTTGGATCAACCATCCTTCGTTGGCTTTTTTCACTTGCGATCACGTCCTCACGTTGCTGCATTTGCATCTGTATGTGGCGTTGGAGATCTTCAGCACATAATCGCCGCATCTTATTTTCCAATGCCACAGTGTCCAAGTCACGTCGCTGTTGCAACAGCAAGTCGAATGCGTATTTTGCCTCCAAATCCACGTCGTTAGCCATCTTAGAAATGTGTCGCTTGAAGGCAGATTCCATGACACAATGCTTGGCGGAACTATCGCTTTTGGCTGATCCTGGGGAGAGTAGCGCGTCATACATTTGCAACTCCTTCTCAATACTCACGTCTGTGCCAATGATGTTGTCAGGATCGCTGCGGTTCGTGGGTAAAGCTTCTTGATCGTCTGTTGAGAAGGCAATATCCATAGCTGCACCTCGCGCTACGCCTTCGTTCTTGCCGGGGGTAGAGACCGCGTCGCTGTAGTCGTTCATATCTTCAGGCGAAATGTCAAAGTCGTCCAAATTGCCCACGGTCGAAGGCGGACTACTAATCATGGAGCGGGCGATGTGGTCTTCGAGAGCTCGTGGGAACTTAAGCGGGTCGAAAAGCATGGAAATGCTTCGATTCTTCGCGATCAAGCGGCCAAAATTGAACTCGATGGACATTGGCAAGCCTGTACTGGCCACTGACCCAATCTTTTGCACCATGTCGCGGATAGCGCAGAAGACGAGGTCCTTGGTGAGGCTACGCGAGAACTTAATGGCGATTTTTGTAAAGTTGATATCCTCCATCGATGCCAAGTTCGCACTGGGCAGGGGTGGTCGTTTCTGTGATAGCGTGTACGTCTTGATGAAGGTGTCGGACAGGAAGAAAATGGGTCGCAACTTCGGCTGGTTACGCGAGTTAGTGAACGTTTCCCATGTGATCGTCGCGAACGTGGCGACGTGTACTCCCTGCACGAAGAAGGTTAATACAAATGGGTACAAACGAGAGCAATTTACAGCCGTACCTTGCCCTGGTTAAAGCGCGACTCAATCCAGTCGTTGAAAGCTCGCCATACACTTTCCAGCGTCTCACGATTCTTCTCGGCAGCGAATTTCGTGCGCGATAACTGCGTACTGCAGTCATTTAGCAAGTGCTTGAGCGTATACAAGGACATGCTGGTGTCGTAGGCTAAGACACAAATTGACAGCAGCTAATACCAGCATGTCTTGCTCCCAGCAACCACGATAAACTCGACTATTCTTAGTGGAAAAGATGACTGTCCATCCACCACGAAGCAAAAATATCTGCAGGAAAACATGTAGGAGATCCATCGAAAACTCTTTTACCTTCTTGTAAATTATGGTTATGGTACAAATTCCTGCCCCCATCAGCGAGTGCTCGTCACTCGCTTTCCGCTCACTCGCTTTCCGCTCACTCGCTTTCCGCTCGATCGCTCTCAAACTTGTTGATACACTCAGCGCGAGTGAGCCCTCCTCTCCGTCTATCCTTGCAGCGCGCTTGGACAGGGACAAACGACCTCAAATACGAAATTAAATGTCCAGCACTCGAAGCGTAAGTCGTCGAGACATGGCGATCTCGGACGACTCCATCATCATACGGTAGATGCGCTTCTCACTGCAGCCGGCCTTGGTGAGCATCGTCACGCGCTCCAGCGGCTTGAGCCAGCGCACCTTGCGGCGTCTCTGTGCGCGCTTGGGTTTGTCACTCTTTGTCTTCTTCGTCCTGGGCGGGGAGGGCATCGTCTCGTCCTCCACGTCGTCGCGCTCCGCCAGGGAGGCATCGTCTAGTGGCGTGCTCCATACACAGAGAGGTTTACTCGCGAGGCCGATGGAAGGCCCGCCATGCTTCGGCACGGCACTGCCTCCCAATCCGACACCGAATTCGTACACGGTGACGGTCGACCAGCGCACGCACTTCTTCATCGTTGTTGAAGGACGGCGCTACTGACTCGTTCGGGGGCTTTTCCAAATGGGGGAATCGGCGGCTTCTTTTACGCTGCGAGCTGAGTGGTGTTCACTACTCCCCGATCAGTCGTGCGGAAAGCGATAGACCCATCCATCGTCGAATGTATGGTTTCTTACGCCTCTGCCCCAGTTTCCCACCCGCGATAAAACAGGATTTTGCCCAACGTTGCGGTAGGGGATGACACGATAGTCTACATAGATGAAAGTTATTTTTCTTTATTAATGTAAAGGGAGATGTCGCCCATCTGATCTATTGCTTTTTAGCGACTCAGACCTAGCCGTTTTTGCTCCGCATTCGACGAAATTTGCGACGGCAGGAAACACGGGACTCGCCATGAGGTTAGGAAAGCAAGGAAAACCTAGGCCAGCTGCAACTGCAACGGTCTCGATTGCACACAGCAACGTCCGCCGACAACTGCCCGTGCAGCGCCAGCAAGAACCTCAACTGTGGCTTCGATGCTGCCCTGGGCGAGCTGCACCGTTGCGAGGTACAAGTCCCTGCGTAGCATCACGAAGTGTGTCACCTCGCATCCGTCGCTCACCGATATATCCTGCTGCGTGAACTCGTCGACGGGCTCGCTGAAGTGGATGTGTACCCGGAAGCGGCGCTCTGCGCCGGCCGAGTGCTTGTCGTCCTTTTGAAGGATGACTTGAGGGCAGGAATTGCCTATCACGCACGACGGGCACAGGGATGAAAAATAACCCCAAGCTCAATTTGGTGCTCGATCATTTCACACCTTGCAGGAGCGCCCGCACCTTCATGCGGTCAACGGGGTCGGTGGAGGCAAAGCCAGCCACGTCGATCGGCCGCAGGCCTTCGCATTGCAGATCTCTGCGTAAAATGCATTTTCCCAACCCGAAGTAAATGGCAGGATGGGCTAATTTTCTAGGACTGTCACACGTACTTGTCGGCGCCGCGATGCAGCAACAGTTTGACGACCTTGTGGCTGCCAAGGAAGCTTGCAACGTATAATGCCGTCCGCTAGCATCCACCAAAGCGTGCGGATTAGCTTCACGGCTGCGACGCCGCACATGCATTTTTCTCAGACCTGGTTTTCACCCTACGGCAGCAACACACTTCCGTTCATGTTCCATCCAGCTCTGCTTACTCGAAGAAAAACACTTACGAAGACCTATTGTAAAATAAATGACATCCACAACGCGATGGATGGGTATTATTACTACGTAGTATTTTGCAGCACAAATTCAAGCAGCTTCGCACCTTGGTGAACACAGCTGTAGGGTTTTGATCGATGTACCGCTGCACCTGTTCTACTTGGCTATCGCGAATAGCACGATAGAAGCCATCAAGTGCAGATGGCTTCACTAGATTACATGTATTGTCGAGGCTGTACGTGCGGCTCCACCATAGCGTGTTGCGGCGACAAAGTGGCTCTGTTGCCATCGGAGCAATTTTAACAGTCCAAAAGCAAGTTGCTATTTCTCCCCCCATTTTAGTGACCTCCAGGGGGTTTCGGCACGTAATCGGTGTGGCAGGCAAGCAGAACTGCCTGCATCAGGGGCTAATGGTAACCAAATATCATATGATATTTTTGATAGTAATAGTACTATTTTCGATATTAAATATTAATAGTAACTCATTTTTGCAAAAGCTAACATAATATTTTTATATTAGCTCGGAGAACTGAAAAATATTAGATACTACATGATATTTTATGATATTTTCCCACTTAAGTACGTTTCTTGCCAGCTTACCGAGCGGAGCCAAATAACTTTTTCGATCAGGTTCTAGAAAAGCAGTAGGCTTTAAGACTGACGAGTATTTGCTCTAGTATTTCACTGTGACACAGACAAAGGCGATCGAGATGGAAAACTGCAAACGCTTGCAGCTGTTTAACGTTGATAGAGCGAAATCAAAACATTTTTTCTTGTTCTCTACCGATCTCCTCGTCGACATCGTGCGTCTAATAAACCTGCTGCCTGTGGCGCTAGATTAATGCGCTCAGCAGTGCCAACACACAACGCCAACCTTGCCGTCACTCACAATTGTCCCGGTACTCACGGTTGATTAGTAATACTTCAGCTAGTCGAGCGTTAACGACATCTGATTGGTTAATGTTGCTCGATTACGCAATCATTGAAAAATATAATATCGTATTAACTAATATTAAGCTGATATTTAATAATATCATATTGTCTCAGAAGAAAATATTAGGTGATATTTTTTATATTAACTGGTCTACAGGTGATATTTTCACAATATTAACTTCACCGATTTTGGAGTTACCATTAACCCCTGAATTATTCCAACGGTGCTGTAGACTACAGCACCGTTGGAATAATTCAAATTGCCGATCTTGCACGAAAGAATCTGGGTGCTAACTCGAAGGGTTAATCGTGTAGCCAATTACTCAAATATATGTTTGTACAAGTTTTCGAATCTGAACCCACCTTCCTTCGAATCAAATTAATACGGACGCCCTGAGTTGACAGCCTCGCCATTTCCGCTGTTATCTTTTTGGCACCAGCATACGTTTCTGAAGGTTGCTTCAGTGAAATAGACTGCGGGGTAGGTGTATTATATTGGTAAAGCCTAGTGAATTATCTAAAACGCAGCTGGCGGGAATTGAGAAGGAAATTTGGGGGGCCACACAGCGGAATAGAGGAGCGTAGCCCAGTCTCGGCAATAGCAATAGCGCGCGCTTCCTCCGACTGCAGGTGGAGAACTCGCAGCTCCGTCGGCCACGGTACGCTCAAGAAAAGCGATCTCTATACTCTTTTAGCTTTGGCTCTAACGTTTCGCATCGCCCCGTAGATGTTCAGTCTGAACCCGCGGCAGTCGATGCAGTCGGTGCTGCAGTCGAGCGGCAGCTCCAGCAGCTCGATGCGTAATACAGCGACATCCTTTATCTCTGCGGCATACAGTGGCTATGAGGGCGGTGCAAGCTTTCGTAACGTGGACGCAGGACTCGTTCCTTCGTTTGAGGCACTGAACCCATACGCCAAGGCGGGACACAGCATGATGGGCGACGATAAGCGTTGGCAACCCGTGCCCGACTTGTTCCACTCGAAAGAGTCACTGTACTTCCGTTCTGCAGTGGGAAAAGTACTGAAAACCGCGCACGAAGAGATCTCCCCCGCCGAACTCGAAGTAAGAGCCAATACCCCCGAATTTAAGGTGGAAGAAGGCGACTGGATCGCCCATAATTCCAACCAGAAGAACCAGTTCGCACTCATTACACCTCTCAAGACTGTGGCGCGTATCCCCGCCAACCTCATCATCTCGGATGAACCCATTTCGTTAACACAGCATATGAGCAACCACATGGGGGGATATCTCCGTAAAAAAGGAGAGAAGAACAAGGCGTTCAAGAAGAGATACATGGAACTTAACGGTAGTGTGCTGGCCTATTACAAGAAGAAGCCAGAGAAGAACGGTATCCCGTTGAGTCGAGATGAGAAAAAGTCGCTGGAACGCGGGCGTATTGACTTGGACAGAGTATCGTCCTTGCAGCCCATGGAGTCCAGGTCGGAACCGTATGGTATTCTACTGGTGACGACGACCCGTACGTGGGCAATTTGTGCCGATTCCGAGCCGGAATACCAGCGCTGGCTGAAGGGACTCTGCGACGTGGTCAAGTTTAGCGCTGTTCACGTCACGTACAAGCGCATGTTCCAGTTGCAAGAAGTGAGTGCTAAAGCCATCACTGATGTCCGCATGGTGGTCACTACAGGCGATACTGTTGGCCAGATTGTGGAGCATATCTTTAACTGTTACGAACAGGCTTTGGATGCTGCTCCATTGAGACCGTACAACCCAGCCGAATATCGACTGAAGATCACGGGATACCGTGACTACATGATCGATCGGTTCCGTGTCCTCAACGAGTATGTGCATGTCCGTGAGTGTCTGTTGACCAAGAAGACGATCCGATTGACTGTGATCCACGAGTCCGTGATCCAAGAGACGGCGTTGATGAATCTGAGTATCGGCAGAGATCTGCCAGTTAGCACTGGATCGATGAACAATATCGTGAGTCAGTTCGCAGATATGTTTGATGGAGAGCGCGCGACGTCGCTACAGATGACGACACTTGGAGATGAATGGGAACGACCTTCGATCGACCGCAATGCGTCGTTGCCCAGTGGGATTATCCAGCAGCCATTTGCTATTTGTGTCCGTCGTGTGCTGAATATCCCTCGAACGACGTGTGTGAGGAAGAGATCTAGTGAAGAAGCTATTGTGACACGGATCCCGTTGACTAGCTCGAGTGTGGTGGTTCGCATTGAGCTGTACGATGGCGGCCAGCTACTGGATAACGCTGTGATTGACACATCTGATGTACGATTGAAGGCGCAACGCAACGACTTGCTGTACGCGGAGTGGGACGACCCTGTGTGGCACAAGTTTAATATCGATATTTGCAACGTGACACGCACCATGCGTGTTCAGCTGACTGTTCTGGGCGTCAAGAAGGTTGTGGGTGGCTCAACTTCGAACATGGATGCTACCGAGGAGAAAATGCTGGTGACTGGAGTGAACGCCTTCGAGGTGGACGATGTGCTTGTCCAGGGACATCAATATGTCCACATGTACAACAACCTGCACTCGTGTGTCCAAGGACCAGTGCCTCATGTGACGCTGCCTAATGAGCCAATGATCCAGCTGGAGTTCTCCAAGTTTGACGCGCCGATCAAGTTCGACTGGAGTGACGATGATGACTCGTCAGAAAGTGATCGCTCGTATCGACGCAGTATCATCACGAGCAGTCGATCCGTGATGCTCCGTAAGGAAGGATGGCTGCAGAAAGTGGGCAACTTTTCGTCGTTGACTCGTTGGCGTCGACGTTGGTTTGTAGTGGACCAAAGCACTTGTACTCTGAGCTACGCAGACGACGAGACTGCTCCGCGTAAGCTGATTACTCTACGTAACTGCTCCGTGATGACTGCAGATGACATGAACCAGAAGTTTACGACTGCGCCTGTGAATAAGGGCACACGGAAACTCCGTCAGACTTGGTGCTTTAAGGTGCGACCGATGGGTTCGTCTCGTGATTACATCATCTCAGCGGAGACGAAGCAAGATCGTGAAGAGTGGATGCTTGCGATTCAGACGGTGGCGAAGGGCGACACGAGTATCAGCGACTTTGGTAGCCACAATGGGAGCTTTGATGATTTGATAACACCGTCAGTGGCGGAGAGTCCGAGAGTGGAGGAGAGTAGCGAACAGCTAAACGGCAGAAATATTCTGGAGAGTGTGGCTCAGGATCGACGCGACTCGGTCTCGCGCGGCTCGCGCAGTAGCGGACACAGCTCGTATCAGCGTGAGGGTGAGCTGAACGAACTGCGCAAACTCATCTTGCTAGACCCGCTGTATCGATTCAGTCCGTACCAGAAGGAGCAATTGTGGATGCACCGTGAGGAATTCATCGACATCCCGTCAGCTCTTCCTCGTATTCTTTCGTGTGTTCACTGGGATGACCGAGATGAGTGCGAAGAGGCCTTGACACTGCTGCCACGTTGGTCTGTTCCGGACCACCAAGCGGCATATATCGAGCTGCTGAATGGCGAATTCGCTCACGAAGGTGTGCGCACGTTTGCAGTGCAGAAACTCAGTCAGATGGCTGACACGACGTTCAGTTACTTCTTGCCGCAGCTGGTACAAGCTATCAAGTTCGAGAATCATCATGTGTCTCCTCTAGCCATGTTGCTGATTGAGCGAGCTATCAAGAACCCGAACCAGATTGGCTTTGACCTCTTCTGGAGCATGAAAGTGGAGGCACACAATGACCAATACCGTGAACGGTACGGCACTATCTTGAACGCTTATCTGGACGTGTGCAGCTCGAAGATGCGTGCCATTCTGAAGCTGCAGGACAAGCTCTTCTCGGAAGGTGGGATGCTGGAGCGTATTTGTCAGAGTGTGAAGGCGAAGAGGAAGGACGGCGCTGCTGAAATGAAGCGTGCGATGCAGCAAGGGCTGGAGGCGCTGAATGAATTGCTGCCCGGCTCGTTCCAGCTGCCGCTTGATCCTCGTATTGAAGTGGGCAAGATTATCGTGAGCAAGTGCCGCGTGATGGATTCAGCGAAGAAGCCGTTGTGGCTGGTGTTTGAGAATGCCGAGGAAGGCGGTGACCCAGTCACTGTGATGTTCAAGGCTGGTGACGATGTGCGGCAAGACTGCTTGACGCTGCAGTTGATCCGTTTGATGGATGAAATGTGGCGAGATGAGGGTCTGGACTTGGCGATGGAGCCGTATAAGTGTGTGGCTACGTCTCCAATGACAGGTATTCTCCAGATGGTGCCTAACTCAGTCACAACTGCTGAGGTACACAGACGTGATGGTATGATGGGTACCTTTAAGGACCCCAGTTTCTCCGACTGGATTCGCGCGAACAACTCCGACCCGAGAAGCCACAAGGCTGCTGTAGATCTCTTCGGACGCTCGTGTGCTGGCTACTGTGTGGCTACGTGTGTTCTGGGCATTGGTGACCGACACAATGACAACATTATGATTGCGTCTTCCGGTCGCTACTTCCATATTGACTTCGGACACTTTTTGGGTCATCTCAAGTACTACAAGCTGGGCATTCGTCGCGAACGTACTCCTTTCGTCTTCACGAACGAAATGGCTTATGTTTTGGGTGGAGTGGAAGGCAAGGACTTTGCCAAGTTCGTAGACACAGCCTGTACGGCGTATTGTGTGCTGCGGAGACAGATGCATCTTCTGGTGTCGCTGTTGCTACTGATGGTGCCGGCAGACATGCCGGAGCTGACGGGACGGGATGATATCAACCACATTGTGACGACGCTGGCGCCGGAGGTGTCGGATGAGCGCGCTCGTGAGTCTTTCGAGCAGACAATCCACTTTTGTCTCGACAGTCGGTTCAAGCGTTTTGATAACTACCTGCACAATATCGCCCACGCTTTTGGATAAGGGACAAGCGCGCTAGTCCGGATGCTTGAAGTTTTGGACTGGCAATCGCGTGCATATCGAAGAAATAAGTAATCGCAGCAATGAGTACCAGCAGCGTTGCAGTTTGATGGCATTAGTCTACAATGCGTGCACTTCGCGGTGTGGGTGAGAATAAAGAAAGCAATAGTACTCTTCGAAGGCTGCAGAATTTGTGGTTGGTTTTAAAAAAGTGTGAAAAAGTGAAATCGTGAATCACGATTCGTGATCATTCAGAATCTGTTTGTCGAAGCTATTCATTCATAACTTAAATTATACAGTTGAGCTAGGGAAGAGAAGACTTCCTTGTTTCCTTGCGACCACAACTCATCACATGCCTGCACTCTTATACCGATATCTGTCTGAACTACTACTACTACTACGAAGCACTCCAGTCGTACATGTACACCTTTGCCAGGTCAAGATGGTGCTACTCCACTTCAAACCAGATTTTTTTAAAAAATGAAAACAAAAATTTGATTACGTAAAAGTAGCATTGTAGTAGATCAGCAGAGTAATCGATTGAAGACGACCGTACCCTATTTTATGAGTCATGCAATAATCATCCATTGAAGACTTGAGATTCTCAAGTTTAAAATCCCAACCACATTTTAACAAAAAAAATCTGAAAATGTGTAAATATATTCGCGATTAAAGTACGTCGAGTTCTTCTCATGAGATTTTCCTATCCATCTCACCTCTACGCCGTCATCGCTTTTGCACTCAAAAGTTGCAAGAAATTCTCAAGCATAAGCGTCTTCCTTTCAACGAAAGAGTTGCGTTCTTCATCTCGTGCTTACATCTCCATCAGAGCATTCAGCACAACCTGCACGTTTCCGTTACACTGCTCCAGACGGTCAATGACAACAGCCGTCTCTACACCCGGGAAGATGTCGCGCACCATGGACAGCTCAGCCGACCACTTCAGCTCCTCCTCCGTCACAACGGGGGCAGCGGGAGTCTCCACGACAACGGGCGTCTCTTCCACAGGGGCAGGGGTCTGCTCAGTCACCTGCTCCCACTCGCTGTCGCCGGTAGCGACAACAGGAACCTCAGCAGGTTCAGCAGTCTCAACAGCCTCAGCCTCCGTCTGCTGCTGCACCTCCGGAGCAGGGGCAACCTCCGTGTGGGCGGGCGGCATCTTCATGTTCTTGATCTCACCGACAACCTCCTTGGCAAACTCGCTGATGCCCTCAGCGGCGCACTTGATGCCCTCAGTGGTCTCCTTAACCAGTTGGTCAAACGGGATCTCCTGGATGCTCTGACGCGCAGCGTTAAGCGACTCGCGAGCGTCGTGAGCCACCGTCTTAAGCGCCTCGTTGGTGTGGCTGAGACCAGTCTGAGCCGTCTGCTGTGCCTTCTCCGCCCACTGCTCGTGCTTAACCTTCTCCATGGCCACATTCAGCGTCTCCACGAGCTTCTCAATGGCCTTTAGAATCGGGTCAGCCACGTTCTCTTGGAAAGCGACGGCAGTGCGGCTGACAGCCTCGAAGCGCAGCGACTTAGATCCCTCCGTACCGCTCAAGAACACGCGACAGGCCTCTTCGTACTCGGCCTGCGACGTCACGTTGAGGCAGTCGCCATCAGCGTCCGTGTACTGCACCACGAAGCTGCCGGGGCTCAGGTTGAAAGTCTCATCGAAAAGTGCGGTCAGCGCCTCTAGGGAGAACGTAGAGAGGTCTACACGCAAGCGGTGGAGCTCTCCCTTATAGTTGATCTTAAGCGCGGTCTGCTTGGCGTCCATTGTGGTCCTTTGGTTGAAGCGGTTATGAGTTCTCTTTGTTCTCTACTTTGCCGATCCGAAAATGAAAAAGCGAGGAAAAGAAACCGAGAAGCCCTTTCTAATCTGTTTTTTTTTCTTCGGCGTCTGTTCGTGGACGAGGCTCAGCCAATCAGAAGACGATATTGGGAGAAGGGGTGAATGTGAGCAAGTTCAGCATCGTTTTTGGGAGGGAGTACATGCACTTATTCTGTAGAGTTTATATTTATTCAAGTGTTATAAGCGGATAGATCATGTTAGGTCAAATGTTGCTTGAAGAACATAATATAATTGTAAAATTTATAATTTTATTTCTATTCGATTGTAGGTGTCATCACTTTGTGTATCTTGCTGCCCATACCATAATTCGAGAACGTTGTCGAGAACCATCATTTAACTCTCACTGCAGTGAGTTCTAGGATGAACACTGCTCGGGTAGTGGCAGTGTATGTTGTACTGTAATAAAGTTAAATGCCGGCAATGCTGCGTAGGAATGCATGCGCCAACGATGGGCGCGAGTATCCATCCTTGCGTTGGACTCGACTCGGTGTCGCAGCTGTCGCTTTTCCGCTGTGGCGCACATCTTCAAGTGTGGTACACCCCAATCAACATTAACATTTTCATCCACTCCCACCTCATCCATTTCAACTATTTCAGCCAATCCATAGTCACAACGTTTCGGCACAAAACGGACTATCGTTCAATTGCCATTGGAGCACGAACATTACAGCGCGGCGCTGGATCTCGCGCACACTCGTTCCGTCCCTCTGTTCATGTCGTCCGCGCCGACATCCACCACGTCCTCGGGTGGCAATGTATCGCCGCGCTTGAGTCGCATGAGCTCGTCGTCGGGTGCCTTCTCGACGCAGTCGCTGCAGGGGTTTCGCACTGTGTCATTGCCCGGTCTGTTCCCCGGTACCCACTTGGGCATTTTGGCCTCGGGGCTACTGGATAAACGTCGCGACGGGGCCGTGCGTGGCGGATGGGCCAAGCGTCTCTTCATCTTGTCCACACGCAGCCTGCATTATTATCGCAAGGTGGAGGAGTCGGAGCTTTTTGGCAAGGAGCGCGGCCAGGTGCTACTCTCAGATATCGGCTATGCCAAGGTCGTGATGCCTGACGACGCCCCAGCAGGGTCTGTGGAACCTGGTCACGCGTCGTTCTTTGTTGGAGTGCTATCGGTATGATGGGTATTGGAGTTGAGGTGGTCAAGTGAAGTTATTGAGGATTTAAAGTGTCTTTTTCTCGTTTTGAGCAGAAACGGAAAACGCTGCTGCTGTTCCTGCGTGCCGACTCGTTCGAGTATGCCAGCAGCTGGGTTAGTGTTGTGAATAACGCAGTGCACACAGGAAAAGGCGTTAATTTCGCCCCACGATGGACAGTGGAGACCATGCAGACGTTCATCTCAGCTGCGTCCGGGTACGTTGAAGTTGCATTTATCAAGTCTGATGGCAGAGAAACTCATAATTGCGCGACTGTAGCAACTTTGAAGAGATGGAGGCTGCAGCAACGACAGAATCACCAACGGAGGTGGCAGCAGCACCGACTGTGACGGTAAGGGCCATTGGAAACGAAACGTAAAAGCAACTACGTATCTGACGGTCTGTGTGGTTGTAGCGCTCGATCCCTACAGTGCTTGTTGTTAGTATTGTTTCGGGTCCTTTAAGCGGTCCTACCATGACAGAAAGGCTTGTCAAGCGCAATGTCGAGCTGAACACGGAACTCCAATTGGGTTCATTCGAGCAAAAGGACACATGCGTATTAGTGCTGAGTAATGGCGAAGAGCTCCATATTCCACAACGGTTGCTCGGAGGAGGCGATGCCAGCAAACTACTTATGACTTCTAAGCAAATTGAACTGACAACCCCTGCTCGTTGTCAACCGCTACGACCACACATCGTGTTCATGTCCAAAGTTTTTGGTACGCGGCAGTCCACGTATTCATCTCTTAAAGAGTAATGTCTAAACTTGTTGCTTTGGTACACAGTTTCTTTCCGGTGCGTACGAGCTCCACGTGTGCAAATATCCCGACGAGACTCTGGTCCCCAGCCAGTAATGTCGTCGCTGCCTTCAACATTCACAGTGGCGTTTCCCGGCACACTCGGTGGTCTCTTTCTGATAAGTTGTCTGGTCTCGTTCTACTGCGCTACACCTTTCGTTGGCTTGATGAAGATCACAATCGTTCTTGGTTTGATTCTCTCCGTGTCACAGATCACTCAGTTTATTATCTGGTAGGCGTCGTGATTGTTGACACCACTGCTAACGCAAAACTGACGTTGAGTTTCGTGTCGTCTTATTTATTACTGTAGCTTATCAGAAACACAGAGCCACAAGCGGTTGAGTCCGGTATTGTCCCCGATTGGAGGATCCAGAAAAGCTGTGGCTGCTGTGGGCAACGAGCTCCTGTTCCATTTGACAGTCGACAAGATCGAAGTGATTGAAGCAGATCAAGACAAGGAGCCGGCTCTATCCGACACGGCATCACCAGTATCAGACGTCGACGGAGTTATCGAGACGGAAACCAACGCGATCAGTGGCGGGCCGATCGCGTTCTCACCTCGATTTATTGCAGCGGAAAAGGGTGACGAAAGAAAAGGTCACGCAAGATACTTAGCTACACTGGAGTGGCGCGAGGTGAACAACATTGACAATATCTTGGTGACACCGCACACGACTTTCGACACTATCAAGAAGTATTATCCGCAATATTTCCACGGCAAGACGCGCGACGGACTGCCCGTATACTATGAACGCCCCGGTAAAATCGACCTTACAGCTCTTAAGCGTGAAGGACTTTCGATTGATGATCTACTGCGTCACTACATGTACATTACGGAGTATCTTTGGCGAGTAGTGGAGCCTAACGACTCCGGCCGATCGATCACAGTGCTGGATGTGACAGGTATCGGCATGTACGACCTTGGAGGAGAAGTTCTGGACTTCATCAAGCGTGCCTCGGCGTTTACTGGTGCACACTATCCCGAGCGCAGTGCCCACATTTTCATCATAAACATTCCCGGCTGGTTCAACATGATCTGGCGCATGGTGAAGCCCATGATCGACCCAGTCACTCGCGAAAAGGTACGTCACTTAAACCAATCTTGTCATTGTGGAGTGTGTGAGTCTGATGTGGCGTGCTTGCTGCAATTAGGTCCATATGCTGAAGGGTAGCGCGATTCTGAAGGAACTGGAGACGCTGATCGATCCAGAAAACATCCCGTCGGACTTTGGCGGTGAGGGTGTAGCGCTAGGAGACTCGGACGAAGAGCACGCGCTAGCTGCACACGTGAAAAAATATCTGTGAGTATGAAGCCAATAACGAAATTAATAAAAAAAGGATGAAAACACTTGGAGTGTTACAAATGCAAGTGGCACGGCAACAAGCAAAAGTCAGATGGCTACAATCTCTGATAATTTCGGTTCCGGCTTGAGCTTTTTTGTTCAAGGATCGGTTGCATGATGGGATGCCGATTGTGGCTGGGTGATTAGACTCCATGTGACGCGCGCAGGTGACGCCGCTTCCGTCTTGGACCAGTGGTGGCCGTTGAGGTGGCTGGTCACTCTTGCATTCGCCATGTCGTTGACGAAGCTGCTTCTCCGTCGTGCCGCCACTTCCCGTGCTCGCTCATCGTCGTCATTGGCGTCTCGCGCGTTCTCTGACGTCCCTGATGGTACTTTATCTCAAATGGCTACACCGCCATTGCCTCAACTGAACTAACACTTCAATGTCCTTTTAACAGTTTTGCCCGAACCAGTATACTTCGAGGACATTAGCACGGCCTCTTACCGCATCCGCGATGGCATCCAGCAGACCCAGTGCGAATACTCGCCGCTACTGTCGCAGCGTATGGGAATCGACCTGTACCTCAAGAAGGACCACCGTCAGATGACCGGAAGCTTCAAGGAGCGTGGTGCCCGCAACGCTCTGCTGCAGTTGACGGACGAGGAGAAGAAGTACGGCGTTGTAGCTGCGTCTGCTGGCAACCACGCACAGGCGCTGGCCTACCACGGCCAGTTGTTGGGAATTCCTGTGACATGCGTTATGCCCAAAGTCGCTCCGCTGACTAAAATCGCTCGCTGCCGTGAACTTGGAGCGCGTGTTGTGCTACATGGTGAACACATTTTGGAGGCGCGTGACAAGGCCGAGGAATTTGTGCGTGATGAGGTACGAATTACGTGGGTTTTGCTGGAGGTTTTTGGCAACATGTCTGACAATTTGTTGCTTTTTATTGCAGAACATGGTGTACATCAACGGGTTCGACCGTCCGGAGATTATTGCCGGAGCTGGAACTATGGGAATTGAGATTCTGAACCAGGTGCCGGACGTTGATGCCATTGTGGTGCCTGTGGGTGGCGGTGGCTTGATCGCTGGTGTTGCACTCGCTGTCAAGACGCTTGCTCCGAATGTTCAAGTGATCGTACGTTATTGTTTTTGTAACTCGCGTGATGTTTTGAGTTATTCTAATGCGAAGCGCTCGTTTTGCAGGGTGTGGAGCCTGAATATTGCTCGAGTTACTCGGCCGCGCTGGAGGCTGGCAAGCCCGTCTACATGCCGACACAACCGACTCTTGCGGATGGTCTGGCTGTTCCTTGTGTTGGTGCGAATGCGTTCGAGATCGCCCGTAAATACGTCGACAAGGTGGTGACTGTCTCGGAGCGCTCAATTGCTCTGAGTGTGCTGCGTCTAGTGGAGATGGAAAAGGTCGTGGTGGAAGGTGGAGGTGCTTCCTCGCTGGCTGCTCTGATCGACGACAAGCTGCCAGAACTCAAGGGCAAGCGCGTTGTGTTGCCTTTGACTGGTGGTAACATTGATACTCCAGTGCTTGGTCGTGTTATTGACCGTGGTTTGGCTGCTGATGGACGTCTCGTGCGCTTCGTGGCCACTGTGAGCGACCGTCCGGGTGGTATCGCCCAGCTCACATGCTTCCTACGTGACTTCGGTGTTAGTGTCAAGGACATTTACCACGAACGTGCCTGGGTGCACGCCAGTATCTCTCATGTGGCCGTCAAGTGTGTTGTCGAGACACAGTCCAGTGAACATGCTCTTGCGCTCAAGAAGCGCCTCGAGGAGGATGGCTACCCTCTTATCTGGGAGAGTTTTGCCGGTCAACAGACCCCCGCCGTTGAGCTCTAAGCAGACGTTAGTACTTAAAAAAGTCTGGTAGTACACATCGAAGTAGAATATGGATGATTGTAAATCGCTTTACCTGCTGTAGTTTTTCCTGTCGTTTTCTACATCTCCGCCAGTTCTCCCAGGTAAATGGTCTTGTCACTGCTGCACGAGCCCACAATGGGTTCTGTGGGGTGGAAAGTGGCTTCGTTCACGCTTCCTGTGTGCCCTGGCAAGTGGTAGCGTAAATTCCCCGTTTCGGCGTCCCAAATGTACACGTAGCGGTCCGCTGATCCGCTCGCTACAAAGCGCATGTCGGACGACCAGCCACAGCGAATAAGCGTGCGGTCGAAGCTGTGCTTGGCTCCCATGTACGTCGTCTTGAGACGTTCTCCCTTGACGAACGGCCGAACATCCCACTTCCTCACAGTCGAATCCATAGCATTGGACAACAAGTAATTACCGTCGGGACTGAGACTCACGCCTGTCACAATGTCCGCGTGACCCTGTAGCACCGTGCTCACCTCATCCTTGCGGAGATCCCACATCTTGATGTCTCCATCCAGCCCTCCAGTAATGACTTGAGAGTTGTCGCCCGAGAAACACACGGCCGTGACCTGGAATTTGTTCTCAAACGACTTGACGGCGCGCTTAGAACGGACGTCCCAGATCTTGGTGGTGCAGTCGTCGCTACCGCTTACGATGAGCGTGGGGCCGCTGGTCACGGGACAGCAGCTGTTGACAATGGACGAATGGCCCGCGAATTTCTTAATGCGAGTGCCGCTCTCACCGTCCCAGAGGCCGACGGTCTTGTCGGCCGAGGCAGACACAACCTGTGCACTGTCGTAGGTCCACTGCACTTCCAGCACTGCGTTCTTGTGGCCACTCAGCACGTTATAATTGCGGCACTCACCATAGACGTCCCAAAGCAAAATACTGCGGTCAAAAGAGCACGACGCCACGTGCTGCCCCGAAGGACTGAACTTGAGCGAGTACACGGCCGCACTGTGGCCCGACAGCAACATAGTGGGAGCCTGAAGGCCCGACGTCCGGTCCTCCACGCGCTTGGGTGCCACCACTGCCTGGTCCACTGCCACGATCTCCGTTACGCGCGAGCGCTTGGCTAGTTGCGTCTGCCCTGCCGGCGTCAGCGCCGTCGACGGGGATGCATCTTCGTCGCTACTAAGACGCCGCTTGCCCGTCATTTGCTAGTGAATTTGAGTGAAAAAGGGTACTAGTAATAATGTTTTTAAAATCAATGTAAATGTTAAAATTGAGCATTTCTAACAAGTTAGAAATACATGTACTCCTAAGGTTAATCAATCTGATACCGGTATTCAACACATTTTTCCCGCGAAAATTGAAAAAGACATGGCGAGCCGTGATGAAGTGGTGATCGATGGCGACTCGACGGAAGACGATGAGGAAGTGACCATCATCACGCCTGAAGCCCGCAAGCGGCGCCGCCGCTCTAACATCATGGTGGACCATGATGAGGACGAAGGAGACGACGACGAGCAAGAAGAGAAGGCAGAGAACCAGTCCTTAGCAGCTTCCTCCGCTCCTCGACGCCAACAGCAGCTACTTCTAAATGAAAACGGCGTCTCATCGAAACCCATGACGCTGCGCACACCAACAATGTCACGACGCTCGAGTCGCAACATGCAGCAATTGTCAATATCTGCAGCTGTGGCTCGTGGAGAACGTGGACGCCGTCAGCAGCAAGAAGGAGAACAACAAGACGCAGAAGAACGAGAAGGTTCAGGAGATGATGATGTCCGCGTTGTCCATCCGCCGTCTGTTAGCTCTGTAGGCAGTAGCGGACGCAAGAGTCGACGTCCCGCAATCCACGATAGCGACGAGGAGATGGAGAAGGATCAAGACGAGCCAAAAGAAGACTCTGACGGCGAACAAGAAGTGGAAATTGATGCTGAAGGGTCTTCAGCATCAAGACGTAGCTCCAGAATCCATCACAAGCGCCAGGAGAAGGAGAAACAGCATGCTAGTGCGCGTAAACTTGACTATCCGGTGCTGGACAATTGTCTCGAGAGTTTACAGAGCTTAGGACCTCACTATAATGGAGATGGTGATGACGACGAAGACGAATACAAGGAATCCGAGCCAGAAGAACCCTCTCCGCCACCTAAGAAGAGACGACGCTCAGTACCCCGAGCTGGAGAGCGAGACAACCGAGAGAAAGTCTACGCGGATGCTGGAGACGACGTGGACGATTTTATCTGTGGCGATGATGAGATCGAGTACATGAATGACGATGAGGAGGCTGTGATCAGTGTCGCGTCGTCAGATGATGACATGGCGGCAGATGATCCTGAAGAGCTGAGGGCGATGCTGGATGCAGGACGTTCGCGCGAAGTTAGCGAGTGGTTTGGGATCTATCTGGAGTATCTGGAGGAGTGTATCATCGATCCTGACTTTGAGAGCACGATGCGTCGCAAGAGCTCTAAGGCGAAGCACCAGCTTTACGCACAAGCAATCAATCACGTACGTGGGTCCTGCTCAGCTATGATGTATAGAGTATAGACTGACTTGTTGCTTGTAGATTGAACGCAAACTGTGTTCATGTCGTGACACTGTACGCTCCGGTGTGGCATGGCCGGAGGATATGGTGGACGCTTTGAATCATGCATCATTGTACCGGTCAAGCCGCGTCTCTGCTGACCAAGATTGCGAGGCTTGCAACCGTCGCCAGCATGTAGCTACGTACCACGTAGACCTGGCTGGATATGCTTGTGACGCTACGAAGCTTTACGGCCACAACTGGATGCGCCAGTACGTTAAATCTTGTCACCGACTGATATGTTGTTTGTATGTAAAAAAAACTAACCTGCTGTGCGATGTTTTAGTCTGAAAGATTCAGTAAAGGAAGCAGCTCCCGTCCAAATTTCTTTTGAAATGGGCAGTGTATGTTACGCGGTAAGATTCTTGTCGTTGTGCTTTAGTTCTCCTTCAAGACTGATGTGATGATGCTGTTTTGTGTAGCGTACGTCGGCGTATTGGCAAATGCTTCATGCCAAACAATTCTGGTGTATCATTATTGATGCAAAGCGTAAGAGGTGTGCGGATAGCAGTGGGCGGATTGCTGAGCCGTATCGTGAGGGGTTCGTTAAGAAGGAGTTCGGTCGGTTTAAGAAATTGGTGGGTCTGGTGGAAAAGTTCGCTGAGGACTCGAAGCGAATCACCCAATACATGCCGAACGAGTGGAAGAAGATTACGCGACGCAATGTGACCAGTGATTTCCTCCCACTTGCGAGGCGCAAGTGGGAGGAAAATCTTATGGACATTCAGAGACTCGTCGGGGCACGCTCGATGCGTTTGTTGGCATCTTGTGGACATTCAGAGACTCGTCGGGGCACGCTCGATGCGTTTGTTGGCGAGAGTGAAGAAGAGGAGACCGAGGATGAAGAAGAAGCGATGGAAAAGACGGAGCAAGAAAAACGATCAGCTGCAGCAGTAGACAACGACGACATCCAGGCCACGGACGATGAAGAAGAAACAAAGGACTTGGAGATAATCTCCCCACAACGAACACCACGCTCGGAAAGCAAGAAGGAGCAGAAACTCCAGTCGCCAAGCAGTGAAGAAGAAAAGAAAGAAGAACCACAAGTGAAGGATGAGAAGCCTGTTGAGAAGGACATCGATGACCTCATGTGTTTGGTATGTGATGCCAGCCCACGTAACGCCGGTGTCGTCCACGGGATTTACTTGCACGTGTACTGCTGCTATGCATGTGCTAAGCGCCAACACCGAATGAAATGTGGCTGTATGGTTTGCAACCGGCCAATTGATCGAGTGCTTCGGTTGCTCCCACTCACAGTGGACGCACGAAACGCTATCCGAAACCAGCAGAAGAATTCTTAGGTGACACGAGACCTTATTGACACGCCGAAGCAAAATATGACAAGCCGAGTCTGTATTTGAACAACTTACATGTATGAACTTACAGCTGTCTTGACTCTGTCAGCGCTTAGTTCCCGTTTGTTGCTGTATTTGAACAGGTAAAGAACCTGGTTGCGACCTGCAAAAGGTAGGAACTCCCTTTGAATGGAAGGGTGCTTCTCTAAGAGATACCTTACGAACGTGTCGTAAGTGTCTACAGGGGTGCCATCCTGGCATTGTCGATCTGGAAACACTCGGCTCATCACGCAACAAGGCACGATAGCAAACGGTTTGCCTAGTGTCAGTGCAGCGTCGACGATTGCTTCAGTGGCTTCGTCCGGGTGCATTCCAACGAGGACGGAAGAGTCTGTGAACAGCTCTGAGTGCAGCTTCAATGTTTCATCGTCGAGACAACGGAGTAGTTGAGAGTTCATTTTACGACCCTGAGTAGATTCGGCTTTAGCTACAAGCTTACGATTGTATTTGCCGAGCTTCATTGGTCTCTGCAATAACACAAAAAATCAGGTAAGCTACCATAACCAAGCTTCAACTTTTGGGGTCTGCGACGTACGGGGTCGATAAGCGTTGTTGGGATGCCTCGTTCGATCCAGAGTTGAATGGGAATATCACCTTTGCCACCAGCAACATCAACGACGCCTGTTCCAGCAGCAAGATTATCCTCACCTAGTGAGTCCACAAGCCAGTCGCAGAAAATGCGGCTACGTTGCGCTTTGTCGATTTTAGAGTGAGGATCTCCACTATCACCGGCAAGATGTGCAGCTTTAGCGCGTTGCTCGAGTCGCTTTGCCATCCAACGCCGTCGATTTTCCTCGAACTCCTCTGGCCGTCCATGCCAGAAGTGACATTGTTCGCCACGCAAGCAATTCGCGCCGCCAGAAGAAGAGAAATAGTACTTGCAGGCATTGAAGCCGTCGAGCACGACCATGTTGGTGTACTTATTCGTTGCTCCTGCTTTTGATGATGGCAGCAACACCCACGATCCCTTTACAGCAGCTGACGATGCATTCGTCGAGTCTGGGTTTGTGCAATCAGTGTAGCTGAATACGGTGCCCTCATGACGCAGACTCCAGAGTTCGTCCACCTGAATCGAGTGCAGCACGAAGAGCCAGCCATCTTGGTGTCCTGGTTCGTGGCGTTTGCGTTGCAATGTTCCACAAGCTGTAACCAGGTCACCAAGGTGCACGTCCCAGTTAATCTGGCGAATGGTAGCGAAATCTAGGATATCCTCCTGTGCGCGTATCATGACCTCCAAAAGCTCTACCGGACAGGGTTCTAGAGTTAGCTTGGCACTGGTATTGACGCAGTTGTTAAAATGCAATTATCACACCTCCATCATTCAACTGGATGTCGCCAAACACGAGCCCTTTGCTGCAACAAATGCACCAGAAAACGTAGAATGCATTAGTGGAGAAGACGCGATCACGCGATTGATGCCAACGTACGACAAATTGCGCTTGCGAACGAAGCGACCGCGTACCGAGACGCTCGGCAGATCGTCGTTGCCGTCGAGCGGCGGCAAGTCCTGTAACACCTCAACGTGCAACTTGTGCGTCCCACTCATTTCGTTTTGAGCTGAGCATCGAAAAAGGCAATTGTATTTCACAAAAGACTATTTTTATAGTCTGCAATTGGATCTGCATATTGAAGACCTACGTGTGCTTACTGATGAAGTTTAGACACTTCAATAAGTGTTAGTAAGAACACTCCAGCGTTGCTTTTCAAATTCCAAGCAGTGTCAGTTCGCTCTGTATCTGACTGGCTCACCGCCATACCGAACTGAGCATTAGCAGCAGTGCTGCTGCTAGCAGCGATCATGACAGCGAGCAAGACAATCAACGCGCAAAAGCACAAGAAATTCGCCAGTAACAACAAGTATTCAGGGCGAGTACGTTTGTTGTGCCAATATGCTTCACACAAGATGTTTGTCCATCCATTGTCACGCGGGCCCCATCCTTGGTCAACTTGCACTTGCAACCGAATCAAGCAACCGGGGATCGGTCGAGAGCTCAAACTTCTGGCTGGGATCCAGCCTGGATGGATACTTTTCGCCGCGACAGAGAATCCGGCAACAGCACGCGTCGCGTCTCCCACGATAGGCTTTCGTCGATCGCCGCGGCAGTGCCTGAGGCATTACGCTTGCAAGAAGAACTTTTCAAGTGTCCATGAGACTACCTAGCCAGAAATTCAGCATCTTAGCAACACTCTCTTTCACTTCCTTGTGTTTAGAATTTCACTTCCATGTGCTTAAAGTGTATGCACCAATCAGATCACACCTTTCCAGCTATCGCCACATAAATTGACAATAAATTGCGACATTTTCACGCAACAAATCGTACAACTGCCTCCCCCGACGGCGGATGGCGTAGGACACCGAGAGATTCAGTTTCTCCAAACCCCTTCCGCGGTCTATTGCGGCTTTCTGAGGTGAGGAAGAAGACACCGCATTAGCTTGAGTGTGCCTACTACAACAGCCTACAGCAGCAGCGCGGCTCCGACACAGGCCTCTGTAACTTCAGCGCGCGCGGAAGACGCACAGCAGCTCGACGGACGGACGTCGGCAGCGTGCCAGGAACGCTATAACACCTATACAAGCAGCTATGATGCAGACGCAGCCTCTACCTACTTGCGATGAGTACGATCCGCTGGACGCACACTTGGACGAGCTGGAGGAACCCGGCGCCAATTTCCTGCAAGGTGCGAGCATGCCTCTTTATTTTTATTTAATGCACCTCTAATTTTATGAGATGGAACGTCAGACTTTATCGTGGCTCCGCAGAGCGACACGCCGCTCAGCAACTCGAATGGATATACATCCGAAGAATCAGATTACTCGGTAGTGACCCCGTCCGATGAGCAGAACTACCAGGACATGTCGTTCCTGCAAGCTGCCAACACCAGCGAGCTCGTAGACGTGGTGGGCGACCTGAGTACAGGCGACTTAACCACCGTAGCCCCTCAGCAACAGCAGAAGTTTGCAGGAAAAGTCATCAAGGGGAAAACCTCCAAGTATCGCGGTGTAACACAGACAAGCAAGACCTCATGGGGCGCAAAGTACAGCGCGAAACGCATCACTAACACGTGCAAGACTCCCGAGGAGGCTGCTCACGCATATGACGAGTATTTGAAGGTCAATTATCCGCAAAAGTTCGCCAAGTTCGCCAATTTTTGCGATAAATGCGGCAACTTTGTGAACCCGCTGGGCCTGCCACAGTTTCAGAGCGAATGCGCGTGCTCCATGAGCTCCCCCACGGGCTCCACCACGCTCTCACCCAAGAAGGAAATCTTCGACCGACAGCAGATCGCAACCCCCACAGCTACGCCGTCGCTGGCTCCTACCACCGCCCCGTCTCCCGCTGCAGGACCTTCAACCATATCTTCAAATTCGATGTTGAACATGATGGGGACTTCCAGCCACATCTTGGACTTGAATCCTGCTGAAGAAGAGAACCAAAATGTCCTTCGCTCCAGCAATTTGTCGGTGGGGTCGCTCAAATTCAGTTTTTCAGAGGACACGGAGCAGTTTTTCGCCGAATCTTTCAACGATGTGGCCAAAATGTCGTCCGAACTGGACGGCACTGCTCTGGTGGACGAACAACAGCAGCAACAGGACCAAAAGCGGGACAGTTTGCCGATTGCAGTCATCAGCTCGGCTGTGGACTCGTTCACTCAGGAAGACAATCTGGATCAGATTATCAAGGACATTAACCGCTCTTCATCTTCTCATTCCTTGCTGAAGGGAATCACAGCGGACGAACGGATGGGTAATGGCAGCAATGATAGCTTTGCAGCCAGTGGAAGCACCAGCAGTGGCGGGAAGTTGAGTAATTTTAACGGCATGGGGAGAGTCCAGATCGAACCCACGACGACCAACTCGTTGGACTTTGATGTGGATGAACTGGACGAACTGACGAAATATTTTTTGTCGGAGAACGACGCTGCTATTGTTGTGCAGCGAGAGATGCAGGCGAACCCGGTTCTTATGCAGCAGAATCCTCCAATGATGACGCAGAACCCGCAGTTCAAGAAGATTCACAGTCTTGACTTTGATTCGGACCACACTATGACGGGTAGTTCGTCTCGTAGTGGCATTGTCATGAGCGAAGTGAAGCTTAAAGACACGGAGATGGCGGACCCGTTCTTGACGCCTTCAGTGTCTGCGAACCCTGGCATGATTGTACCTCCAGGATCACCAGCACCCGCGATCATCGAGATTCGGACTCAGTTTCTCGAGAAATACTGGCGTAACGACCGCAAGAATATCCAGTGCTTCCCGTATTGTCCAGAACATGGTGACTATTATCGTGTACGTATTGAGAACCTGCAGCACCGATGCAAGGGAGTTTGTCGTGCTCCTGTGAAGGCTCACGTGTCCATTCCGGCGCCTGCTGGTTCGTCTGTCGTGCAATCTGGCTTATTGCTACTGGCACGCTGCAACAGTACGTTTTCTCGCAACATGACACTGACAGAGCAGCAGCTGCTGACTCTACCGGAGATGAAGTCCCTTCAAGGAGTCAGTGCCGTCGGTGTAGTGGACAATTTCGCTGCTCTTGCCTCTGGAGGTGTTCAATTCGACGTGACTTTTCACCCAGATGTGTGGAAATTCGAGTTCGACCTACCGAAGAAGCGTCGTCACGTGCAGAGTTCGAGTCCAGCTGTGTCGACGCATGGCGCTGATGATGGTGTAGACCCGATGACAGCAGAGTTTCTCTATTTCTTCGAGATTGACGTGTTTTACTCGCGTGAAAAGACGATGTTCGAGCGTCTGGGCCATACAGAGTCTATGAACTTCCAGATTGGCAACACTCGCACATTGTTACGACAACGCAACAAGATGGTGGAAGAGATTAACACCAGTGGAGGACCGCAGGTACGTGCGGGTCAGAACGATAATGACAAGTTAGCAGATGCTGATGAATTACCGGAGAAGAAGAGGGTCAAGGTGAACAAGGGACGACACGAGATGTTGTCGGGCACGTCGTTTAGCGAGGACGGTCTCAGTAGTCGTGGACCCAGCGGCAGCAAACTGTCGATTGGGTACATCACTGGTGAGGGCATTTCGTCGGCGTCCAAGAAGAACTTGCTGGAAGACAAGAGCGCGCCTATGGATGTCGATGGATACTTCCGATCGGACTCCAAGGACTCGCTATTTGACCGCGAAGCAGGCTCGTCAGATCTCCCGAAAGTCAAGGCTGATGTGTGGAAGGATGTGGACGGCGACAGTGATGACATGCAGCAGGCTGCTACCTCCGACTACCGTCCGTACGTCTCACCGAAGCAGAAGAGTGGCAAGCTGCAGACTGCGGAATCTCCAGTGGCGACAGCCATCCCGGTCAAGCTCAACATACACGCTCGACCTGCTATCCCTGCATCATCATCGTCAAATGAAACGCACAGTCTGCCGAAGCTCCTGGCGTACTCTTTTGTCTGCGTACCGCTGTCTGTTCTCTTCATTCCAGTGGGCATTCTGCTGCTCCTTGGGCTCTTAGTGGTGCCGCCCGCTGCTTCGAGTATCGTCGGTGCACTGGACGCTATGTCGGACATGGAGCTGTCTCGTGCGAACAGTAGCTGCATTTCTAGAGATCAGCGCATGGTGCTGAATCGTCTGGTTGAAGAGAACGTTGACTCATCTGGGAAGCCAAAGGGAGGTATGTTCCGCTATCACAGCAAGGGCGAAGTGTGGGGTAGGATCTTCTACTATAGCGGCGCCAAGTTCGTGGTTTCTATGGTGTCTTTGATGCCGGCGTTTGTATTGGCATTATTTGCTGGTCTTCTCTATCCCATTCGTCCCGTGTCTGCTGCCGTTGCAAATGCTGCGTGTAGCTGTGCGCTCTGGTCAAGAGAGTACACACGTGAAACTACGGGCAAACCTTTAGCAGGAGCTACGCAGTTCGACGACGTTGTATGATCAATCGTAACGAGATCTTCATTATTCAAGGTAAACAAAAAAGAAAGCGGATGTCAGATAGCGCAACAGAAAGCTAGGTTTTGAGGTCCACATGTAATTTATCATTCAGCACTCTTCGTTTTATGAAGGTTGAACCAGACAATCGAAGTAAGATAAAAAAACAAAACAGACCTGAATTTAATGTTTTCTGCTACGAAGGACACTCTGTGGGCGTCTTTTTCAAGGTCTGTTGATTGAGACTTTGCCGAAAGGTTCGTCAAAGACGCCGTGTCGAGTATGTCCGGGCTAGCAAGGGGGCTTGACGGGTGGAAAGACTTACTTGGAACGGAACTCCTCGCCTCCCGTGACCATATCGAACTGGCTGGCGAAATCGTCTATCGACATCTTCTTGCCGTCGTCTTCCTCGTCATCGAAGACCCAAGTCGTACCCGGAACGTACTTCGAGCCTTCAGCCTCCGAGCCGGGCGGACCTTTCGTTCCCTTGGCATAAAGCGGTCCCGCGCTGCAGTCACAAGATAATGTAATCAGTTTCTACCACAATACGCACAACGCTGCCAAAGGATTTGGTTACCCAGGAAGCGCATCTGCAATCCCGGCGGTCATACAGCTCTCGCCAATGTCTTCAATGTTGCTAAGCAGATTCCGCGCCAGGTAAGTCGTGTCGCCTGCCTTCTTGAAGAAGCTGTGCTTGAGCAACGCTGAAGTGCCAGGGCTACATCGGAGAACGCGTCAGTTATCCACGATGCAACGATATACCAGCAACTTCCTCAAGCTTACCGCTTAGATGGGTCCTTCTGCAAACATAGCTTGACCACATCCTTAAAGTGTCGTCCGAATTGGTGTCCGCTGCCATCGTCCTATAACCACAACGTTAATTATCCAGCCTTCGAGCCACACAAGTCTTTAAAACGTACATCATATGTGCGCAGCGACGGCGGGTCCTCTTGCAACGTGAGCAGCAGCACCTTCATGGGCTGGAAGCGAGCATAGGGCGCGTAGCCCTTGGCCAGCTCGAGCGCCGTGATACCCAGCGACCAGATGTCGGCCTTGTAGTCGTACCCGCGCACCTGTTCCATGACCTCGGGCGCCATCCAGCATGGAGTACCCACAAAAGTCTGTCGATTCTTTCGACGATCGCCGCCCTCCATCATCCAACCGGAGACGCCAAAGTCGGCGATGACGACGTGTCCCTCGCTGTCCAGCAGGATGTTACCGGCCTTGATGTCTCGGTGAATCTGGCCGTTCTCATGGAAGTATTGAAGTCCCTTAAGCGTCTCGTTCAGGATAACAGCCACGAATTCCTCCTTAAGACCCTCGCCCAAACCCTTTTTCTTGAGCAGATTCATGACGTGCAGACACGATCCCTTGTTCATGAGCTGCGTGACGAGCCAGAGCTGGTCCTTGTGCACGAAGCTGCAGTAACATTTGAGCACATTGGGATGGTTGGTCATCTTCATGGTCTGCACCTCAGCGCGGATGTCCTCGAAGCTCGTCGTGATCTTCTCCAGGTCCATGATCTTGATGGCCACGTGGATCTTCTTGGGCGCGCAGTAGGCCTTCCATACTTTGGCAAAGGCACCTTGGCCGATCTGCTCGATGATCTGGTACTCGCTTGCAACGGTGGGCCACTCGTCCGCCATGGCTCTTGTTGTCACTCTGAGGAAAATGAACGAGGTGGATACTTTCCTGTGCCCTGCGGCAAAGGCGGCGAAGGTTTCCCTGGAGGGTTCGGGTGCGCTAGAGCCAATACTGAGACCGTCTTCTCCACCAAACAACCAGTGTGGAATACACAAAGAGGCAGATTATGACGTGGACCACACGCTTATGGTGCACCAAGCCCTTCACACAAGTTGCGCGAAATTTTGCCTCGCGATTGGCAATCTTTCAGCAGAGCTTTATCCAGGATAAATTATCCTACATGTACATCTTCCACTGAGTTTATACATGTAGTCTTGGACCGGGCATGGAGCTCACTTGGCATCATGCTGAATTTGTTCCTACCGTGTCGAAGTTGCGTGTATACTTGCCAGCCTACTAGACGAGCGCGCACTGAAATGGATGCTGTGAGCATCGCTTTTTGGATGGGATGGTAGCTGCATTTTTTTCAGTCAAGCCTTGACGGCTGTGGCAAAGTTTGATTCTCTTCTGAAGACGTCCACAAAATACAACAACGGCTGGGATTGTATTTACGCGACGCGCGCTGTCAGCAACACGTTGTAAGCCTACAAGTGGACACAGCCACTGGCATGCAGGCCTTGCTCAGAGTATCTTTTCGACGGCTTTTTGCAAGTCGCGGTGGAGATCGACTAAGGACAACTTGACATTGCAAGATCATCAATATTGCTTCCGTCTTGAGTAGTAAGCAGTCGTTCCAATTGCGGGGTTGGTCGATATCCCCGTGAAGCACTGCCACTGGCAGTGCCAATACACCTTGTCCAACGCAGCGAAGACTCCAGTCTGGAGTGACGAGCTCCTGCAACATCTTGCGCTCGTCTCTATCCCGTCGTCACATTGTGGCTGACAGTGGCTCGTCGACAATTTTAGTAACGATTTAGCGCTAAAAGTTAGAAGCCAGGCAGATGGTCTGAAGCCGGAAGAGCTTGCTTCACGTCCTCATCCAGTCCAATCCCAGCTTCCACACTAACAGCGAGCTTGTCTTATGCTGACTGCATGACAGCATAATTGACTGTAGCTACTGCGCGCTCGCCGACAGGAAAAAAGCTGTGGGCCCGTAACAAGTATCTGCGGGACCGGGATACGCTGGGAATAGCCCCACCCCTGTACACAATATCAACACAATTTCACCTACTGAGCGCAAGTGAGCACCTTCTGCCACGTACGCCCCCGCGAGCCACACCGCCGCACTTCGGTTCTCGCTAGCAAGACAGCACTGTACAGGCGATGATGAAGACTCCGGCCGGCGTGCGCATGCGCATGGCGCTCAGTCACCAGCGCAATCTCCGCTATGTGCTGGTGGCAGCTTGTGGTGCGCTGCTGTTTGTCATGTATCTGCTTACGAAGACGCCCACGCCTTACACGTACGACAAGTTGTCGGACGAGGAGGACAAGCGCTTCAACACGCAGGCCATCATGGACCAGTGGCCAGGCCAGTGCCAGATTAAGAACTTTGAGCAGCTGCGTCGAATGTCCATCGTCTACACGTGGGTCAACGGCAGCCAGCCCTGCTATCGCGAGCTCCGCGAAAAGGCCGGTGGCAAACACGCCGTTGGTGGTTCCCGCGACCGAGAGATCGGAGAGCTCATGTACTCGATCCGCTCGCTCGAGAAGTACGTGCCTTGGCATACTGGCCAGATCTACATCGTGTCTCCTGGCCACATCCCGCACTGGGTCGACATAAATAACCCGCGCATCAAGGTGATCAACCAGGACGATCTGTTCCAGGACTACGCCAAGCAGTTCCTGCCCACTTTCAACACGCACGTGATTGAGCAGTTCCTGTACCTCATCCCCGGCCTCTCGGACATCTACATGCAAGTGAATGACGACTATTTGTTCACCAAACCCATCGCTCCACACGAGTTCTTTTCGTGTGACGGCGGCATCCGATTGCTGCACGAGAATGGACTCATCTCCCACACGCCGCCAACTCCGAAGAAGGGAATTTGGATCGCCTCAGTTCTCAATACGCAGCAAGAAATGGATCTACGCTGGGGTAAAACGGACCGCCACTTCATCAAGCACGCGCCGTTCGTGTACTCGCGTCGTGCATTCGAGCGTGTCCACCAGATCTTTGACCGTCCACTGTACATGACGCTCAAGAGCAAGTTCCGTGGTAAGCCTGATATGAACATGCCGCTGTTACACCACTACTATATGGTGGCACAGGGTAGCGAAGAGCTCGGTATCCCTGTCTACTCACCTCCCGAAGAGGAAATGTCTGGGTACAAGCTCATCCTGATGCAGAACAACAACATTGACAAGCTCAAACAGACGTTCGGACAGATTCTGGACGGCTCTACGCCATACAAGATTGTTGCACTTAATGACGAGTACTCCGACATGCGTGTGGCAGACACAGCGCTTGAGTTCCTCAACAAGTTTCTGCCTACGCCCAGCTCATTCGAGCGTAAGCCCGACTCGAAGCCTCATGCGCTTACTGTACGTAAGCCTGGTACTTGCGAGGTGGATCCGACGGTCCTGTCACCGTTCCCGCGGCGAGTTGAGGCTGCGCCCAAGTACCAAGTGATCGCGTACCGTGAACTGCGCTGGGTGGCTTTCACCAACTCGCTCCTGCGTGGTATTGGCTTCGGTCTGGGTGCGATTATCATGTACATCTTCTACCTGCTCGTGCTGCGTCCCAGTAAGGCACCAATGGGTTCGAACGGTGCCTACGATAAGGTGTAAGCGTGCTGGATGGATTATGTGCAGAGTGTTTTACGAGCAAAGGGCAAGACCGTCGACGACGTGGGTCTGCAGGCCTGTGGAAGACGAGGTTGGTAGGTTTAGTATGTGTATCTACAGCACGAAGGCAAATGTGCACACTACTCGTCAGCGTTCTGTGCAGAATAGACGTTGCGATTTTTTTTTTTCGTTGTGATGGTCTTGTCCTCCTCTTATTATTATAATAGGTGACGTGGCGACGCCACAATCCTTTGGCCACTGTTCCTTAAGCTCCGTTAAACGTGCAACTACTGCATGAATTCGTTTACCAGAACGCTTCATCTACAGCTACAAAGCGGAGTGTTTTTCTAGCTACAGACGTCAAGACAATTATGTCTGCTTGGTAGCGTGGGGCCCAGGAGAGCCCTTGTTGGTAAACCGGAAGATGTAGACGGAGATGATGGCTGCAATGGCCAGACCGAAGCCGTAGCCGATGTTCAACGCCAGAGTCCATCCGAACGATGGCGTCATCTCGGCGAAAGCACGTTCGTTAGGAGAGCGGAAGCGAGTCACTACTGGTGCCGGAGCCCAGTCGGTGGCTATCTCGTCTTCGACTCGAAGTGACATGAAGTCTGGCTCAGGTAACGGGACCACATTCGGGTCGTACGTGCAGTCTGCGCCGTGCCAGTTGCTCACTACACTCACGTATTGGCCTTCAGGAAGCTCGAAGAAAGCTGGCTCCGGTAGCAATTGAGAGTAGAAGCGGCCTACAAGCTCCGCCGTCTTGGGACTCGTGTACTCGTCGTTTAAAGCCAGCAGAATCTCAGGTCCCTTGTTCTCCAGCGCCATCTTGAACTGCGCATTGAGCGAGTCGTCAATGTTGTCCTTGACACGCACAAGCAGCCAATCATTACACTCGCTGATCGGATTGAGCTCCACTGGAATCCCCAGTACCTTGGATCCTTCCTCCTGCATGTAAATGTGGTGCAGTAGTGGCATGTTGAGGTCGTCCGGGTGACGCATCTGGTGTGGCAGCATAGCGTCCAGCTCCTTGCCGAACTTCTTGTGGATCTCTTCAAAACCCAAACGACTGTAGACGAACGGAGCGTGTTTGAGGAAGTTGTACACGTGCTCTCCACCGTACGTCTTGTCCGTGAGCATGACTGTGTTACGTACACTAGCTAGCCAAGCATTGGATTTCTGACTCGGAACATGGCGGATGTGGTTGATCTCGGTTAGAAGACGTAGTCCACCGTCACACGTGAAGAATCGGTCGGGCGTCACAGGTTTGATGAATAAATAGTCGTCGTTCATGTGGATGAAGACGTCTGTGAGCCCCGGGATCTTGTGCAAATACTGCTCGATAACGTTCGTGTCAAAGGTCGGGAGTGTGGCCTTGTCCTTGGGCAGCAGGTCGTCTTGGTCTACGACCCGCACACGTGGGTTGGATACATCCAGCCAGTCCGGGATCTGGCCTGGAGTGACGATGTAGATGGGCCCTTCGAGCCAGGGTGCGAACTTGAGCAGCGAGCGCAACGAGTACTTGAGCTCGCCCATCTCCTTGTCTCTTGACGACCCACCGCGAGGCAATCCTGCACGCTCACGGCGTTTGTTGTAGCAGCTTTCAGTGCCGTTAACCCATGTGTAGACGATGGCAGCATGGCGTAGCGTGTCGAGGTTGGCCACGTCGCAACGCGAGCCGTCCTTCGAAGGCATTCCACTGATGAGCTCAGCAACCCGAGCCGGCGGGTCCGGCTCCTGCCCCATGAACAGCAGCGTCGCCACAGTTAGCGCAAAGCCTAGCAGCGCCAAGAAGCTCCGCATGGTGGACAGGGGGAGAGAGAGGAATGGAAGTGCCCAAGCGATCGCAGATGTAATAGCTCCACGTACGAGAGCCGCTGGGAGCGGGATAGGATGTGTCGTCCCGCGCGGACTCGTCCCACGGAATAATTCATCGGATAATTCCTACGCTAATTGCTAGATGTGTGGACCACGTATATCGTGTAATAAACGCGATTTTTGTTTTTGACACAACGTTTCTTTGGCGACGCACACCATGGCCACTAAGCCGCGCGTGCTGGTGCTGGGCGGCGCCGGCATGATCGGCCGCAACTTCGTCAAGTACATGGTGGACCGCGATCTGGTGTCATCTGTGCGTGTGGCGGACAAGACGATGCCTGAGATCTCTTACTTCAGGTTCTTATCAAACATATCCTGTCTCTAGAAGTCGTCGGATCCTGACTGTGTCTTTCGCTACTCAGTGCCCCGCACAAGGAGGCGTTCGCGGACGAGCGCGTCAAATTCGTACAGGCGGACCTGACTCGTGATGCTCACGTGGACCGCGCGTTTAACCCAGAATTTGGTCCCTATGATTTCGTGTTCAACCTTGCGAGTGAGACCAAGTGCGGACTCTCAGAAACCGTCTACGCTTCGAAATGCCGCGACTTGTCGGTGAAGTGCGGTACGTAATGCAACGTGCAATAGATAAAGCAAATGGGAGGAACTTAACAGACGCGTTGACAGCCAAGAAGGCGCAGGAGGTGGGCGTGACGCGCTACATTGAAGTATCCACCGCCTTCGTGTACAAGTCGCAGGTCAAGCAGCCAGCTAAGGAGGACGCCGATCTGCAGCCATGGACTCTTCAAGCTAAGTACAAGCTTGAAGCGGAGGAGGAAATCCGCCGTATGGCAGACCTGAAGGTTGTGTTCCTTCGCTTGGCATCGGTAAGTCAGAAACTTCTATCTTTTCATCGGAATAAGTTGACTGATTGGCCCCGTTGTTGCTGTGTAGGTGTACGGATCGGCGGATTCAGCGGGACTTATGCCTAGAATCGTCTGCGCCGCCTCGTACGTGTCATAGCAAGTCGGGTGTCTCTTGAAGCGAAACACTGATTTCGTTTTGTCTACTGTAGATATGTAAAGCTCGAGGAGAAGATGAAGCTGCTTTGGGACGCGGAGATGCGCGTCAACACGGTACAGCAGACACTATTTCCCTATGACGAGAAATCCAGAGTAAATGACCCATTTGTTGTTCAGGTTCACGTGTACGACGTTTGCCAGGCGCTGTGGCATCTAACCAGTGCTGGAAACGATGGCGAGGTCTACAACTTGGTGGACAAGAACGACACCAGTAAGTGCTGCATGCACAAAAAGCTGCCCCTCTCGATACATTAAACAAATCGCGTACTTCGTACTGTTCAGACCAAGCCAAGATCAACGCTGTGTTGGAGGATATTTTCCACATCAAGACGGGCTTCATCGGCAAGCTCGTGTCCAACCTGGCACGCGTTCGCCTTGCTGACGTCGTAGACGATGCCAACGAGAAGCACATGCAGCCGTGGGCCGACCTCTGTGCGGTAACGTTCTGCCCATACACCCGGATTCCAAGTCTCTACGTGTGGATCTAACTTCATTGTGCCTGCCTTTGTTCATGCTTCGCTTTGGACTGTCATTCAGGAACATGGCATTACCAACACGCCGCTGACGCCCTACATCGACAAGGAATTGCTCCAGCACAACCACCTCTATGCTGATGGCTCCAAGATCGAGTCCACGGGCTTCCATTACGAATACCCGACGGTATGTGGCCGATCTTGGTGGCGTATTGTCACCTTATCCGGATACTGACGTTTGTGTTGCTTACGTGGCAGTTGGAGACGAAGGAAGTGCGTAGCGTGCTGGAAGAAATGGTGCAACAGAAGATCTTCCCGCCTATCTTGTCATAAACTCTATCCTAGACGACGAGGCTTCGTCGGTGTCAATAGGGCGATGCCTAACGCTCACAATGTGACGCGTTGGCTCGCGCTCATGTTCCCATCCGCCAGAACGGCCCAGCCAGCTGACCTCGGTGCTGCTGCGCTTGACACGTTAGAGGATGTTTGGGCAATACATTTTTCAAGTGTAAACAACAACACGACCACCTGAGTTCTTTTTTGCCCAAAACTGGGTACCAATGCGGGGGCAAGATGAGCTGGTCGACCTACCCGCATAACTGCAATAGGCGACAAAGCGACGGTCGGAGGCTTCGCTTCCCCCTCTTGTTTCTCGCCCTCTGCGCGCTATCGCTCTCCATACGCTCTAGCACTCGACAGGGCGTCTTGCGCACGTTCTTACCAGCCAATCCCCGCTGGAATCCGAGCGGTAGAGCCGTCAGTAGAGCCCTCTACTCAACTTCCATCCGTCGGCTAGCTGTCAACGCCTTTACGTAGTCGCAGTGCCTCCGATTGAAGATTAAGTCGCACATACAAGGCACCATGGAAGTGAGCGAGGCACCGGATGAGTTCGATAGCTACCAGGACGGTCTACCGTATGAGGCACCTGCCAGTTTGACGTCCTCGACTAGCACAAGCCCAGCGGATGGAGAGCCGCGTGGCAGCAATACTTCCAGCGATGTAGATCCACTACCGACGCAGCAGGTGCGGAAACTCAAGAGGAAGGAGCGATTACGCACGCAGAGCGAGAGCGCAGCGTGGACCAGAGCCTCGCTGAGGATGCGACCATCTCCACCTGTAGAGGATCTGGCGGCCACGCCCGCTCTTGACGGGGCCTACAGCCTCGCGACGCCCGGTGGCGAAGCTCCTTATGACCAAGTACGCAATAGCGAAAGCGCCTTGTCTCATTTCACGAGGGATATGCTCAATGGTCTGGACATCGCAGCAGTCGCAAATGGCAATGAATTCGCCTATCGTCGCCGCAGCCACGACAGCTCCATGGCTGCTGGAATGGTATTAGGCAGTCGATCATTTGCGAGTTGCTGTCGAGCTTGCTCGAACAGCAACTCAGTGCTAACGACGTCCTCGACCGGCTCAGCTGGCTCCACTTCGCCATCCTCCGGCGCGCCCTCAGCCGGCTCAGCAGGCTCCACCTCGGCATCCACCGACGCGCCCTCGTTTGCCTCTCGATTCATCTTCTTCACTGACCAACGCACGAGCAGCCTCGAGGCTGAAGAAGTGCGTGAACTTACCAATCATTTTCAGATCCCATGTCAGATCTCCAGTAAGATAAATATCTGATCTAGAATCTGATCAGTTCCGTATACGTACCTTTTCGGAGCTAACCGCCGTTGCCGGCTCGGGCGTGACGGTCGATGGTGTCGGTGTGTCACCGTCACACTGGTCCGACACAAAGTCGATTAAGTCTGCGAACAAGTAGATTTTGTCGCCAATGGGCAGCGTGCACTCTGTCAGGTTCATCGCCTTGACATCATTTAGAAGATTGTGGCACGCGTCTGACGCACACATGA